ATAGCAGCATATATATTTAGCTGTCGCCCTGACGAATCCGCTGTGCTGGCAGTCCCCATCCAAGAGTGCTATAGGACCAGGCGCCCAAATTGCTGCTGTTTTGGACGCGTCGGTTACCCAAGTGCCTTGACTTGCCCTGCGATATGGTTCACTCAGTAGTACCAGGTCCACCTCTTTCTCAACGACCGTTTGCCGAAGTAGGTCATGAGCTGCTTCGCCGTGATTGAGATTAATCTGCATTATTCTCATTTCCGCGCTTTACCGACCAGTGCCTGCTTGAACAGCGGGCATTTCCCGCTCTCTCCGTGTGTGTGTGTGTGTGTGCGTGTGTGTGTGCGTGTGTGTGTGTAAACACAATGTTGTTGGCATCAATAAATTATCCTTTGCAAAATTATTTCAACATTTGCTATTAGAAGAGCAGAAGCAGAGGCAAAAGCGAAACTGGCAAACGCCCATATCGTATCCATCCGATGGTATTTTGATTAATTAAAAGGTAGGTGTTCGCTATAATAACTTATATAAATGTGGGTGAGAAAGTTTGTTAATTGAAAAAATTAATTATTGGACTACTGATCCTACTTGAAATAAATATTCGTAAATGCTTTACGGCCAATTCGCGGCTAAAATTGCAAGTGGCTAGCGAATGTTGTCCGTTTCTAGCAGTAGCAGCACAAACGGAGTTCGCGTCAAATTGGCAGACGTACTGTCTGATATATTTTAGGGCTTAGATGGGGTTACATGTTTATTGCTTTTTTGTAGGTAAAGACTTACATTTTCATCGCTAGCCAATTTCGCTATCCTATGTGGATGCGCGTAGTCCGAGTATTGTTAGCGATGCTTGTGCCAGCGATGAATAATAGCACAGATGACAAGCAGATGATCTCGATCTCGAATGGATGCATTTTTGAATCGACCCTAAGGATCACCGTCCGCGTCAGTGTTTTTGCTATCATCGGTGATATATTCAGTAATTATTTTCGGTAATTGAGCCTTCTAACTCCAATTAAAACTATTAATGGAACGACGTTTTTTCAAACTTTAGCTTCATCGCCCGGTTTGACGTCTAAAAATAGTTTCTATCATGCGACTCTTATTTAATGGTGACTTCAATTTAGTTGGTGTTTTAACTGCGTTAACGGCGAATTTTATCGCTGCCACTAGGCTTTATAAAAAATACCTGGACTGTTAAATGTTTCTACCAAGTTTGAAGTCGATATCTTCATTTTTGCGGCCGGGAGACTGCCAGCAACAAACACCACACAGATGGATAGCTACGGGTTAATCAATTTAGAATGTCATGCTGATCAACAATATATATACTTCATCACAAAAAAAAAGAAGCAAAGTTTGTATACCCTCTTGCTTCAGTCGAAGATATAAAAAGGTTTTTACAAAATAGGCACAATACTATATACCTACACTAGCAATTGTATGAGCTAAGGATAACGTTTTTCTTTTTAAGACATTTTGACTCTTCGGTGTTTCACAGCGTAGCAATTTACCGTAGATTATATCGTAGGTGTATCGTACGTTGCCGAATCAGTATGTTGTCAAAATTTTGATCGTGTACCCTGGGATGTTCTTAAATATTGTTATAAAGTGTCGAATTGTCTGCGTATGTCATCTATATTATCCTTTAGTCCTTATACTTGGTCACCATACAAATCATACATATGCTGCAAACTTTCAAACGCTACTTTATTTAACCTGATAAGGCGTGAATCTAGGCCATTTTTCCCCTTCAATTTGAATGCAATTTCAAATTGAAGGCATCGAAAAATTTCACGTATTTTCTAAGCGCCTCCAAAAATCTTCCATTTGTGAGAATGTAGGCAATGGATCAGAAGGAAGAAGCCGTTCGCAATTCTACAAGCAATTCACTAATTTGTTCGCACTTCTGTTACACCTGTTGACGTAACATGACGAGGCTGAGACGCAATTCACTTCGGATTACCATTAATGGCATCTCATTGGATTTTAGCAAATGCTTGATATCTTCAGGGTCTTGTCTCAACTCGTGAAGTTTTTTCCTATACATAAGCGTTTTGTTAAAGATTGTTCAACCGACTCTTGATAGAAAAGTCTAGAATGCTAATGCAATTTGTTTGTATTCCCTTTATAGGAACGTCTGGAACGTCTTCCAGATTTGTGTTAAATCTTCTAACATAACCCTTTTTTTTTGAATAAATCGAATATTTTTATATTCTGGTTTAAAATTGAACTGACAAGTGAAGTAAAACTGAAGGATACAATATGCTTTTCTTTAAATGGACTTAAAAAGGAAAGAAAAATTGATTTTCATTTTATTTTCATATTTTTCAAGATTTTCGATGACATAATATTTGCATTTTTTGCTTTGGAGATGAGCATCAAAATGGTTGCGATGGGCATGTATGGGAAGAATACCTATTTAGCTGACTCGTGGAATCGCTTGGATTTTTTCATTGTTTTGGCCGGTTTATTGGAGTATGTAATGCATGTGGAAAATTTAAATTTAACCGCCATACGTACGATACGTGTTCTAAGACCGCTAAGAGCAATTAATCGCATACCCAGTAATTAAAATATAACAAAAAGAAAGCAAATAAACTTCAAATGGATATTAATAAGTTCTCTCTTAATTTCAAGGTATGCGTATACTGGTTATGCTACTGTTGGACACTTTACCTATGCTAGGCAATGTGCTGCTGTTATGTTTCTTTGTGTTTTTCATTTTCGGCATTATCGGAGTCCAGCTGTGGGAAGGAATTTTAAGGCAACGTTGCATCCTACAACTACCCGACTATGTGCGCAAACCGCCAGAGTAAGTAAGCAGAGTGACAATTTAATAAATTTGTTTTTGATTTGTTTTTAACCTAAAGTTGGTTCATAGAATTCATAATTAAAAAGAGAAAATCTTAATAAAAATCCCGGAAATGAATGAATGCCCTAAACATAATAGTAACTAAAGAGGAAATTAAAATAAAAACAAAAATATTTTTAATCCCTGAGAACCGGTTTTAGAACAACGACAAATGGCTTAGTATGGAAAAAATTTTAAAAATATTTTTTCTTAAATCCCCGATTCACTTCATTTTTTTTTTCTTTTTTTTTATATTTCTTCATTTAAATTTACTTTTATTGAACATTTCTTTGTTTAGCTTAAATTTTGTAGAGCTTTAGCTGATAAATTTACCCTTTAGTAGATTTTTAAATCGTTGTAGAGAATCATAGATTTTATGAAATAAGCAATTTTTAATTTTTAAACCCTTTATTTTTGTTGGTATAAGTGAAACATACTTTGGAATTTCATCCACGGATTCGAAGATAAAAAGTTATCCGTGCAATAATATTAAGTTAAGTTAGGGGAATAAATTTCTTATTTGCATGTTTTATAAGTTTTTGGTTAATGCGCAAAAGTTATTTTCCTCACATAGGTATCGCTGTCATGTAATTGCGTTATAAATGCGAAGCCTCTGTAATGGAAGTAAATTCTGAGTTACTTTCATGAAACTTTTTTAAAACGATTTAATTTGCGCCTGTATAATATTAAAGAGAATCTCGATTAAGACGAAATAACAATTATTTCACCTCTAGTTTACGAAAAGGATGTTCACGCGCCCATATACATTCGGACGGAGTATTGATGAGCTTTAAAATTGTATAACCTATACGTACGTCCAAGTGTAATAATTTGATCAAAATATTAAATAAACCGCAGGTTATGCGAATAATTTCCCCAATCAAGACAGTGTATATATAACAACTGCTGTTGTTAATAATTTATTGCCTTCCATTTTAATTACGTTTCTTCCTATTTTCCATGTTTTTTGATCAAGTATTTATCAATTACATCAATAAAAATTTGTCAAAATCGAGTAGAAAATGAGATTAAATGACAAAAAACATTGCAATAAAAGTATAATCACATTGTATGGTACCATTGTGTAGAGTAAAACTTTAAAGAAGTAAAACTTTTGCCTTTCCAATGCAAAGATCTTTGTATAAGATCGTTTCTCTCTTTTTCCCACTTTTTCTCAATCACATTTCATAAAGTATTCTACATATGTAAAGGCTTATTCATATTCACATACGCACCCAAGTAGAAAAGAGCAACAACACATTGTATTTTAATTGAGAAAAATCCTTATGGGGATTTTTCAAGATTTTGATGTGCGAATACAAAAACATCAAATAAATGTATTATGCGCTCAATAAACTTGTTATCATCATGTACATATGTGTTATACACACATATCGATGTATGTGTAAAATAATTATGTTCGAACCTTGTTTATAAGATTCACCATGTATGTTGTTGTTGTATGGAAATAAATGCTCTTTCTTGCCTCTCACCCGAACAAGCTTTTAAACACTTGATTTCAATTAAAACTTTTACAACAACTAGCATCACACAAACACAAACGACACCCCAGCCACCACCACCACCACCACCATTACCACTACCAATGCCACTGCAATCACCACCTATTCTCTGCGTTGCTTAAAATACTACGCACTCTGCACAACATATACACTTAGAAACCCCCCGCCCACTAAAGTGAAATTTTGGCATATAGTTGCTATACTGTATATTATTTTTGTTTTTCTTTTTTAAATTTTCGTAATTATTTCTCTTATATTTAATAAACACTACGCAACAACAACAATATATAACAAACAAAAAAAAAAGATAAATTAATAAATAACAAACAAACAAAGAAGAAAACTACTCTAAAAAATCATACGCGATTTTTTGTTTACAGGGGACTACCTGATGAGTACAGAGTTCGAGTCCGTGTTAACTCGTAAGATGCATACAAATTTTATCATTTTGCTCTCTCTCACTCTCTCTCTCTCTCTCTCTCTCTCTCTCTCTCTCTCTCTCTCTATCTATCTCCCTCTCTCTGTCTCTCTGGCTCTTTCACTGATCAGTTTATCAATCTACCTCCGCCTCTCTCTCTCTCTCTCTCTCTCTCTCTCTATCTATCTCCCTCTCTCTGTCTCTCTGGCTCTTTCTCTGTCAACGTTTTTTCACTGATCAGTTTATCAATCTACCTCCGCCTCTCTCTGTCTCTCTCTCTCTCTCTCTCTCTCCCTCACTCACTCACTCTTACTCTCTCCCTCCCCCAATCACTTTCTCTCTCTTACTTTTTCCCTTTTTCTCTGTCTGTTTCTCTCGAATAAATACATAAGAATATAAATCTCTTCTCTTACTCACTCTCTGTATTATATATATTTAGATAAATGTTATCATAATAACGTAACGACTGCCAAAAATGTTGAGCAATTCGGTTTCTCTCTACATTTTCTCGATTGGTTATCTTTTGGTTTTTCGCTAAAATTTTCAATTTAATACTTTATGAGAATATTCAAAAATGTAGTCACACTTTAACATATACTTACTAAATTTACTTAATGTGTAATTTTTGGCTCTCATTTTTTGTACTTTACTTACATTTATTACACTCCACAAAGGAATTATAGGAAAAAATTATTCTTTTAGTCGTTCATTGGACACATTTATCTGAGAGAAAAGGGAACAATGGAACGTAAAAGTAAATATATTTGCAATGAATTGGAAAAATTACTTTCTTTCGATTTGTCCTCTGTTTGCCAATTCAACGACAAAACTCGTATTCTCCCACTTAAATATAATTGCAGACATTGCAGAACACATGACATACTTGTGACCCACTGTTCAACAGATTACTGAGCTTTTTTAATATGCGAGCAGAGTGTAGCCCGACATTATAAAGTGAAAATCTTTTATGCATATTTTTACTACTAATTTATCTATTAATCAACTTAATTGGATTGCTGCGTAGAAGATTGCTATAACGTTACAATATGAATAATAATTATTATAATAAAATAACAGATGATTGTTTTACCTCTCATTTCATTTTTCGGTTCTTGTAAGCGAACATCCCTGTTTTAATCCAAAATTGATATTGAAGAGTTTTATTGACGATTTGGCTTCAGATTACCAAGTTTTGAATTTTGAAATAATATCGAGTTAGTTTATTTCGTTTTATGTTATACAAGTTGAATTCTTAGTTTAATTTTGAATCTAAATTTGTGTACAAATAAAACGACGGCGCTAGCACACGTGTGATCAGAATACCCAATAAGAGAGAGATAAAGCAAGAGTTCATTATTTTAGCATTACTATTACCTTCGTCTATATCAGGTTACCATCTTACAATGTATTGCACATGTCCCTGCCAAATCGAGAATTTATTCCAACAATTAGTTCATTTATATAAGATTTGCTGGAATAAACTCTTGATTAACCGCTTTGCATCAAATTCTTGTTTAATTTTTCTGTTTCTTAAATTATATGCTATATTTTGCTTATCCAATTCGTTTCTTTGTAGCCTTTAAGTTTTCATTTGTAACATTTGTGGGTGCATCATTTATCTTGGTAAGATTATAGTCCATAACATTTTCACTATCCGTAATTGGATCTATAATGATTCATTCTGTGAGATTAATTGCTTGCAATGATTTGAAAATATACCTTTAAAACATGTTATTATTAAAGTTGGAACAAGCAATCATTTTTTTTATCCGATGTTTCCGCCACTAACCATTTATAGTTTCTAATAAAAATGTTCGTTTGCCCAATGGTGCTTGTTTCGCAATGGTGACTTTTTCTGCTTCTTTGTGATACTTCTTTTGTTCAGTTTGCTGAGTTTCAACATGAGATATATATCCCTATATTCTACGGTTCTTTTTGGACTTAACAAATCAAGAAGAGTAGGCAAACCACTTTTATTCAACGTTATATAAATTGGAGATACTTCCGCGCTCATGTGGTACATATCTTCGCAATTGTCTAAATTTTCTGTTAAGTGAATTTTTTATAATCTTTACACTATGTTCAACTTGGCCGTTTAAGAAACAACTGCCTACGGATGTTTTGACATGCAATATTCAATTGTTTTTCAAAAATAATTTAAATTTCTTCGGCACAAATAAGGTATCGTTATTTGAGACCAAAATTTTGTGTAAACCAAACACCACCGATTTAGGAACGGACCGAACATATCTACACTTATTCCTGAGCAAACTTGCTCCTCAGATTGCCACGTAACTAATTTGCGTTTGAGTGCGTCGAGCATATTTCTTAAACATGATAAACATGACTTTACATTGTTCTCTAAATCTCTCGATTGTTGTGGTCAACAACAGCGTTCACGTGCGATTAGCTCCACTTTCACGATTGCCGTGTGTCTTGCATGTAAACAATTGAATACTTCTGCTTCCAGTTTCCTAGGTATAATTAATCGATATTTCCTAAACGAACAGCCGGAATCTTCACATGATTTCTTCTTGAAATAATATAATGAAGTAAGATCGACACATTTCTTAGGCCTTTCACACCTTAGCATGTGTTTAACTTGTTCTAACACTACGTTCGATTCAGTCTTTTTTCTTATCTTGTCAAAACGTAAACAATTTATACAAACGTTTTCGTCTATATCATGCGGTACCGGTTATATATCGGTCGAGTGTCTCGAAAAAAATCAGCTAAATTATCTTTTGATGTATTCGCATAAATTTCATATCAACATCCTGATAGAAATAATGCAATATGCTGATGTCTATTGTATGCCATTAAAGGTCGCCAAAAATATGCGCTAAAGCATCTAGTAAAAATGGACAACCGTATACATATTGATAAAATTTTTTTATTCCAAATAATATTACTACGACTTCTCTGTCTAATTGGGAATAACGCTTTTTACTATCAGACAACATTCTAGATGCGAACTCAGTTCATTTCTCAATACCATTTTCATTTTATCGTGATAAAACTGCAGCTACTTCTACAGGATTTGCATCTACGGTCAATTTGGTTGTGAAACTGGAATTAAAATGTTCTAAACACTATCTGGTGTTAAGAATGTTTTAAGTTCATCCAAGCACTTAATCTCTTCACAGAAATATTCGCATTTTTCCACAACAATGTAAATCCAGCATTATTAAAGATATCCAATACTTTTTCGAGTCAAAATTCTTTGGACGCAGATATCGTCGAAAGGTTGCTGGATTCTGCAACTACTTCAAGTCGCTGGTGTGTCGTGCTCAGCTCAAAAAATTTTATACATTTTTGCAATTTTGCAAAAATTTCTTCTGTACGCAGAAATGGATTATTGAGGATTAATAATCAATGTACCGCAATCGAAATGCTGTACGGATTTGCTTTTTCTGTAACTGGCAAGGGTATTTATCTCGGCCTAACGTACTTAGGAGTGGCTCTTTCTTTTCAATTAAGCGATACTTTACCTTTTTCAAACAGATAGAAACGTACAATGCTGCTAAACACATTTGGATGCTTATAAATTAAATTTTCCTCAATTAACGTATTCGTACTATAGTTACAGTATCTGTGCTTAACTATACTGATCACCACAGTAGCTATACGAAAGGGGGATGACCCCTGAGTGAATGGTCATAAAAAAAGGAATGTAAACTTCTTATATAACAAAAGAAGAGGAAAAAGGCGTGCATAACTCTGACAGAGAAGTGCGCACGCAGCCGATATAGATCCGAATGAGGAGTGAACCGCAAAACCGTTGCAAATATGAAAAAGGTTGGCAATCGATGAGAGCGAACGTATTCAGATCAGTGATGCGATTTCAGGACTAAAAGTTCGTTTAGGTACGACAAAGCAAAGCGTCCATGTTAAGGAAATTTGATTTGATAGAATTTGAAGAATCCGATATTAAAATTATAAAGGTCCGTAAACGGGTTGGAAAGCTCGTAATTATTTCGACAATGCAAAATAACGTTCCTACAAAAATGGTTAGGAACCTAGGAGTTGATCTGACGTAGTGATGCCAACGCATCATTACTACTATTTATTAACTTAACTAAGAAAAAACACCAAGTATAAATCTACGCTTCTCTAGTAATGGTAGGACTAACATAAGGAGGCGAAAAGATGAGTGGATCCTAACCCGAATTCCTAAGGGCAAATAACAGGAATTACTTTTGAATAGATTTTGTTGAATATTTGTAACACCTGTAGCAGGGAGACCACGTAACAGAGGCATATTTAATTATTGGTCTCACCAAGCTCATGTATAGCGTTTTTGTAACGTATGGATCGTCGAGCTCTTTCGACCACTGTTTAATAAAATCTAGCGCCGACTTGGTTGTGTTTAAGCGAAGCTCATTATTTAAATTACAACGTAGCCTCTGGCCGAATAAAGGCTCTAAAACCTAAAAAAATCCGTAGGCCTTACTTTAGTTTAATACCGCTTGCAAAACGAAAGTTTCCATTTTTTTACTATATTCGTCGTGTTTGTAAGAGAATCCGGTACTGTTTAAGACTACTTTTATAAATCTTTGATCGTTTTTCAGTTGTAGCTTTCGCCTCTTGTGGCTTCGAGCAAGTCGTAATCATTTTCATGTATCAAGTTTTAACTTTTTATTCCAATATTTCCGAACGTAAGCATTCCAACAGTGGGCGACATATAGACAGATAGTCAACGCACTTTCTTCTATTGACCAGAAATACATGAACTCTCATGACTACTTCCTATTATTAGATACAAGCAAAGACAAATTTACTTTATCCTCATATTTTGGTGATGGATATAGCAAATATATAATTTAAAAAGTTCCATTTTCCTTGATATGATTTTTATATTTTCCTATTTTCTTCTTTTCTACACTATTATAGTAATTAGCTGTAGTTGTTGTAATCAACACATAGTTGACTAAATGTGTGATTTTATTTATGTTTCGCCACAACACGGTGTAGTCAATATATGTTAATGGACTCCCCCATGTTGTCTTTCTATGTCTAAATAAAAATAAATAAATAAATGAAAATAAAAAAATTAATTAATACTAACTTCCCTTGTATACTCTACTTATATATATAAAATAATCAAAAATCATCTAAAATCATGCTTGAAATTTTTATTAATTTTTAAAGAAATCAAAACAAGAAATTAATAATTTTTGCTAAAGTTCTTATTCGGTTTACGTATAATCAGATACACACTCAATTTTCGCACAATTTTCTAAACAGAAAAACTTATTCAATACTGCAAATCTTAGCCTAATTATTGCAAATTAATTTTATAATTTTCGTTTTAAGAAGAAAAATACACATACAATTAATTACTCGCACTACTAGAAGAGCTTGAAACGAAAATATGTGCCGTATGAAGAGAAAAAAAAAAAAATTCTATTTGAACTCTCAGTAGAGTGGCGTCATATGTCATCATATATCAGAATTTGAAAGCGAATAGAGATTTTAAAATACGCCTAGCAGCTATTAATAGCGAATCAAAACTAGTAGATGTGCTAAGTGCTTCATTAAATATATCTTTATTGAATTTATGGTATTATTATATACAATACAAACAATGAAAGAAGAAGAGAATTTTTTTTTTATTATAGAATTATTTCAAATATCAATAGCATTTATAACGATTATTATTGTTAAAGTCCCAGTTACCCAGAGATCCATCATAAGCGAGAGTACATGTAATCTGCACTTTTACACAAAACAAAAAAACAAAAAAAAAAAAAACAAAGAAGAACTAGAAACCGTCATGCAGTTCCCTGATCTGAAATTGTAGAATTTTTAAGTTCTTTAATATTGATTTGTTCTTCTCTTTATATTTATTGGGTGTTGCCTTTCTTTGTCCTAAATTCCCCAATCAATTCTCTTTCCTCTAACGCATTTTCTAATTATTCTTCGATTCTTTACAACATTTTCCAAAACATTTATTTACTTGTGATACAAAAAGGAAAGAAAAGACTTGAACAGAATATAATAAAAAAAAACGTTTTGTTCGTTCAGTTCATAACATAATTTTTATTATTTATTTATTTATTGATTTTGTGTTGGTGTCAAAAGTTTTATAAATAATGGGTAAAATTTGAAGAGTTTTTATGTATTTATTGCAACATTCTGTAAATATTCGAGAAGGTTTCTGATTGCTTTGCTGTTGCTAATTTGTCGATAATTGTTGCTTGTATGTTTTTATATCCTTCCGTCCCGTAATGTACTCCAATTTTTAGAAATAAGTCGTAAAGTACAATGGATGAGTCACCTTATTGGTATTCAGTTCAGCTCATTATTAATTTTCTGTTCTTCATCTTTTGTCTTCGTCTTGTTTCAAGATTTTTCGACTGACCTGGTGTAAAATGAAAGTAACTGATTCGTTCCCTCACCTGTTGCAAACTTAAACCAAAAACATTCAAGTTTCCGATGCATTACAGCTAATGATTGATATCAAATCGAAGAAATTTCTCAAGTCGGTGAACGCGGGGGAACAATTAGCAAAATTTATAGAGGTTTGCAGAGATATTCTAATGCAAACTAAGGGAGAAACCATAAAAACATTGAAATACAGCATGAAAAAGTGTCTTGTAGGGGGTTCTTTAAGCAGAGTTAAAAATTTGCAACATTCTTTATTAAAGTTTTTATATTACGTAATTTAGAGATGCGTTTTTTATGCTTTGATAAAGTCTAGAGCAAAACAAGTGAAAACACATTCATTGTGCTCGACTCACCATTACTCGCAGGTCGACTTTTCAAAATAAGGAGTTATGTGGGAGGTGGTACTTGGGCCATAACATGTCAGTGTACCAAATTAAGACTCTTAGGTTGGACACAGAAAACAAGACAGACGGACAGATGGACAAACAAGCTTAGATCGGTATAGTAAGAGACTGGTGCATATTAAGTCCTTCCGAGTATTACATACGTTAGCCCAAAGTTAATGTATCCTTGCACCGCAACTGAGGTAGGGTATAAAAAATTTAAATTACTGTAATCGTACGTTTTTTCAACAGCTTATGCGGACCTTTTGAGTATAGACGTCACCCATATCCACAGAGTCAAGTTTAGGCCATACGAAGTCAATCAATATTTAGAAAATATATAGATTTCGAAACTCCAAGGGCGCAAGTATTGCTTACATTCAAAACAAGTTTATTTAAATATTCATAATTTTCAATTTATTAATGAATCCCGATCAGTCAATCAGCTAATGTATGTGAAAAATCCTTCTACGACCAACACGAAAATTTTCGGAAAAATGTTCTTTAAAAAATTCGTTTAGGGAGTGCTTTATAAAGAAATCCATTTTCAAAGTTTCAAAAATTCGCCTAACTGTGCATGCACTCATTAATTATTGTGCAGTAGAGTAAAAATAGATTTCCCACTAACCATCGGATAGAATTTTCAAGGGGATTTTCCGGTTTAGTACAAGGAAGCAAAGATCTTGAGAAACGAAAGATCAAAGAAAATTACATTAGGAATACATTTTTCATTTTACCTTCTGTTTATAGTTTCTTTGGCTTTATGGAAAATGTAATGAAAAACGAACAGAAAAGACTTTTGTTAAGATACTTTTTTAAGATTTTTAATGGTTTTGAAATTATATTCCCGACTCTCTATAGATTAAAAAACTTGATCTCACAGTTGAAAGTAATCTCATTTAATATTGTTATGCTTCACTTTAACTGCACACGATTTAAAAAAAAATTAATTTAGAAAAATAAAAAACGAGCGGTAAAAGACTGTAATCGTACAATTTTCTTGCAGGAAAACCCACAAATTTTTCTTAAGGAGGTATTTAAAACTACCCTGACAAAAATAACATATGATAATAACCGAAAACTAATAAAAAAACTAATAAAGAAAAGTTTTTTGCTAAACTCATATAAAGGCAAATAATAATAAAAACTTTTAATTAAATTTCAAATTTAAAAAATTAAAGAACAAATAGCTTGAAAAGCTCTAAAAGTTAATATGGATCGTTATGCAATCGTATAAGCCCTTCGAGAAACCGTATAGATGATAAGAAATGCAAAAAATCTTTCGGTTACAAAAAAATTCAACTTAAGTCGTTAACGGCCATCCAAGAAAAAAACAAGGATTAGAAGATACGTTCAAATATTAACTGCATATATATGCAACTACATATATTTTCCCGGCTTACCTGATTGCATGATAATGAATCGTGAAAACCTGGTATTGTTTTCTTCCTTCATTCGTCGAAGAAGAGTGGCAGGAATAATAATAGTAACTGTAATAGGAAAAATAGCAGTAACAGTATATGTAACAGTAAAATGATTGACATGAAGTTGTTTCTCTTTATCACTGCTTCCTTTGATCTGTCTGTCCCACACACTCTGTTGCTCTTTCTCTCTCCCTCTCTCTCTCTCTCTCTCTCACTCTCTCTGTCTTTCCCTTTCTCTTTCTCTCTCTCTCTCTCTTTTACTCAATCTCTCCGTCTCTAATGTTCCTCGTGTCGCTCTCTAAATACTTTCATGAGTGTGTATATCATATGTATGTGTGTGCGTGCATTTTGTAATTTTCTGCGCTCTTTCTCACATTATCTCTCTCCTCCTAACATTTTATTCATAGTTAATTCGTGACTTATTAAAATATTTATTAATTTTTCTATAATTTAAAACGAAAAGAAAAAAAGAAAAAATTAATTGAAATTTTACTGAAATAATGCATATATTGGTCAAATATATTACAACTTATCAACGAATGAATTTTTAATTTCTCTTCTCCCAACCTTTCTCACTCAAACTTTACAACCCATTACACTATTACACAAACAACTTGTGCACTATTCTTATATAAAAAACAAATAAAATCTATAAATACCTTATCTTACCTTACATTACCTTACCTTACCTTACCGTGTCACAACAACAACACTAATCATATATATATATAGCGTATCCTACTACTATGAGTTTTCCAAGGAACAAGACTACATTTGCTCGAAACCCGAAGATTCTGGTATGCATTTGTGTTCAGATTTGCCACCATATCGTATAGGTCCGATGCTCTGCACAGGTAGGTGTTAATTGAAGTTGAAAAGAAAAAAAAAATATATATATATACATATATAAAAATAAAAAGAATTAAAATATATGTATATATTTATATATATAAACCAATACTTAAATATCCTTAGAGAAAGCCATACCCATGGAGGAAAATCTACCAACAAACGCATCCTGTGTCAACTGGAATCAATATTACTCACGTTGCGCTCAAATGGGTTTGAATCCTTTCCAAGGCACAATTTCATTCGATAACATCGGAATGGCTTGGGTGGCTATATTTTTGGTAAGTTTTTTCATTTTTCATAACTTTGTTTCTTATCCTTCTGTTTTTTTGTTTGTTTTTTTTCCTATTTTCGTGCGATCTCCACGCAAAAACCGCAACTGTTTGCACTGCACAAGCAAACTTTCAAAGGATAAGTTTCTACGTTAACCAACCCAACAGCAACAGAATTTCGAACTAAAGTGAAAGTGGCTAAATATTGAAAACAAGTTCGATAATATGGCAACTAAACTGCCAATAAAAAAGTTTTTAAACCAAAATATTTCCGTTTCGTGGGAGCGTACCACAGCAGCAACAACATCGTTCATTATTAGTATTATTATTACTATTATTACGCCTTATGGTTTTTTAGCGCTTCCACTCGAAACATGAAAATTGCGTTTGTGAAAAGCATATCGCTCGATGGCTGTGATGTGGTTGGAAGCTTTTTTGAAAATAACACACACAAGATATATTTATTAAATAAACAAATCAAAAAATTTGTATTAAAAATGAATTTCAAATTCATGCGAAAGCTTAAAGTCTTCCCGGTCGTTATTATCGATTGATTGATTGATTATTAATTTGTTTTCAAAATTCTAAGATCAAAAAGAGAAGGGAAAACAAGTTTTAAATAAGATTCGTTTTTTCATTTTTGATTTTTCAAAACTATTTAACAGGTGATATCCTTAGAAGGCTGGACAGATATTATGTACTATGTACAAGATGCACATAGTTTTTGGGATTGGATTTACTTTGTTCTGTTGATTGTGGTAAGTGTTTTGCAGTAAAATAAGAAAGAGAGGGAGAAAAAAAAAAGAGAAGAGAAAAGAAAAGTAATTGTAATTTAAATGGAAATGCTTTCCGCCAAGGCAAATAGCAAGGTTTTCAAGTGCTCCTTAACCTAATAACCAGAGGCAAAAGTATTTGTTATTCTAAAGCAAAATATTTACTTTTCCTTTCGCATTGAGCGCGTGCAACAAGCGAATTTCGTGAATTTTACAATTCCGAGTTAACAATCGAATTAAGACATACATCATGAATACAAATTATTAATAAAAATCGTTTATATTTCAGTCAAGCAGTATATTCGCACAGAAATTTTCATTCATTTTTTATATGTTCAACAGATAGGTAAATGTACGTAGGCATGAGCGCGCAATATGTTTATATATGATATACAAATGTAAACATATACATATATGGCTATAGATGTGTATTGTATACATAAGTACACATATATACATATTTGCATACATAATATTACATGCATACGTGTACGTGCAGGCGTGCGGGCCCTGATCACCTGCATTCTCTTATTGATTTCCCCTACCTGTTCTCTTCGACCACTAATTCTCCCGCTCGTGTAGTTTTTGAAGCATTTGTTCTCCCAAGTTTTACACCGTGCTCTTCCCTGTATACTTCGCTGGGGTCGGCCATACCCCCAAAAATATATTCAAGCCGGCCTAGATATGTGTATCTGCTTGTCTTTGCATTCGTATTGCGTCAAGGAAACAGTTCCTGGCGTTTGCCCCCATAGATATTTTTAGAGACGCGTAATTTTGATAAAATAAAACCTACCAAGCTATGTAATAAACGGCATGAAAAGTGAAGATCCGAGGATAATTGATATAAAAATATAGCGAAACATATACATATATGGTATATGATGTTTAAAAAGGAATAACTTTTCGCTGGCTTGTGAAAAAGTTGCTAGTATTCATAACGAAGAAGAGTTATCAAAACAAGCAGCACGGAATGGTTTTGCATTCAGGACGCGCTCTAATCCATCAATCGTTGTGAAACTTGGTGAAATTCTTCAAAAATTGAAAAAGATCGCTATCTCATCTTACGACATCGTTGCGGAATTAAACATTGATAAAAAGAAAAAAGATTATAACCACTTGCATAATAATGGATATGAAAGAAAATTTGACATTTGAACATCACGTCGACTGAAATTCCATCCGCGAATCTCTGCTGAAACGAAAAGAAATGAACCACATAAGGCAACAATGTGCACAAGGGATAGTAGTCCAAAATCGATGAAACTGTATAAGGGATCGTACATCGCGAGCCCCTGCCGCATGGCCACAAGATTGACTATGCTCTTTATTATTAATGACTAATGCAATTAGAGCGCGGCCTTCATATAAAGCTATCCACAACCTTAATGATTCGAAATACCAAAGGAATTTGTTTGAGAAGTGTTGACGCAACCAGCATGCAGCATGGATCTTGCCTCGATTTCTGGAGAATACTCTTAATGACGCAAGGCTGAGCTCGAAATAGGCTTGGTTCAAGTATTCGCCCAACATTTCAATTCTGCATGGGATAATTCTAACGTCCTTAGATGTGTGTCTAAATTTTATAAGAGTAAAAAACGACTTGAGCTTTTTCCTTGCGATTTCAGAAACAGGCACACACACATATGTCATATAAATAACTTTCAACCGCTTTGCTGCATTACATTAAATCAGCTCCCACTGTGCTTTACAGTTAAAATTTTCGCATTGTTGCAGCGGCTGATAAATGGACACTCCAATCCTATCCCATTGAGTGAACATTACTTACTCAACATTAGGCAAAGTTTCTGTGTAAATTTCTATGCAGAGGTAAATGTAAGCATTCACACATTTATAGAGATATATATATATATATATATATATATATATAGATATATATATATTTTTATACATGTATATATGTAAATACAAATGTGGGAATGCTCACATTAACATATAAGCATATGTATATACATATATATACGTGTGAAAGCTTACATTTACGTCTACGTAGAAATTTACACAGAAATATATAAATATTTATATATATATATATGTATATGTACGAGTTTAAGAATGTTAATTTACTTAGTATTATTCTATTTATTTATTTATTGAACATATTGGAAGACAGGTGGAAAGAAAAATTTTATCGAATTCTCAACCAGACATACCATAGTTAACGGAATATAAATCAAGCAACCATTCAAGCGGAATCCGTTTCTATTACTAATGCTACTACATGCGTTAGCAGCTGAAATGTGATGACATAACTTTCCCTTACTTTACTGTACAATTCCGAATAGTTTTCTCATTTCCGTTCAAACTTTACGCAGAAATGTTTACGCTTTGGTTAATGTTGAGTAAGTAATACTTGGTCGACGTCATCTGATTTAAATGTTGATTTCTCACTCGCAACAACAATGTTAAGGTTTCGTCTGTAAGTGCGCGAGGGAGTTGGCTTAATGTAATAAAAATTTTTGCAATAACCGATTGAATATTGGTAAAAGTTAGAAACACACGTTATTGCATAGCACGATAAAGAGTGAGAAATAGAGAAACATATTGAAAAGTTCAAATCACAGTAACAGGCAACTATTAAATGTCTCACATATAATTTTCGCTTATTGCAAAATACTTTTCTCACCTTCGCAATAAGTTATTACAAATTATATACATTATAATGCCATGTAAATTAACTTTCTTCTAGGTGACTTAGCGATTCACCAGTCTTTCTTCAGTCATAAAACTGTAAAATCTTAACCCGTTTTTGTCATACCAAAATCTATTTTTCGTGACAATTTTTACACCGGAAAAGTTACGAAAATTTGATCTACGTATGTATGTTCATATTTAATCAGATGCATTCAAATATCAAATCATTATTTTCTACATATACATGACTTAGTTTTCATGAGAATCTCAGCGTGGGAGAGGATCCGCAATGGAAACTCGTTTGGTCTAAGTTTAATAAAATCAAATTTCTTTTCAAAGAATCCATTATTATTCTTCATCTATTTTCGGCATAAAATACCAAAAATTAAATCTCATTGCCATTAAGGCTTCTTTTTTTGTGTTTGTAAGGCAGGATAGGGTTCACAAGATGTTTCCATTCAATCCAAATTTTTTGGATTTCTGCAGTATGTAAAACTACTATGCCTACCATCAAGTTTTGCCGAGGAATACTATAAACTGCAAACTTTTCCCATATAACGGCTACTTTTGACAAAGGCCATAAAAATGTTACAATCCAATGCACATTCAATAACGTTCATCCTTCCGCTAATGTCTTACAATGCGGGACTTTTAGATTGAGCGCAAAATTCGAAATCAACTCAGATAAGGATTTTTATTAGTTCGCTAGAAAATGTGCATCTATTTTAACGTGCTTCGACTCTAAACATACATTCACACAAATTCAATACCATTCAAACATTCTACAACAACTGGTACAAGGTAGCGGTATAATAATTTTCCAGCTGAGGTGATTCTTTGACACTCATGCACTTTTACAGGAATTGTTAAAAGTATTGTGTTAAGAGTGTGCTGCGGGAAATATTAACCCCATCTTTTGATTCAATGTTGCTTATAAACCGTAAATTAAAAGTGTGGGAAAAAAGATTTTCAATCCAATAGACAGCTGACTACCTTGGTGGGCGCAGTGAATAAAAGAAATATCGTTGAACGAACCGGCTGAAAGGCGAAAGTCGAAGGGCTTACACATCAAAATTTTTTATTTAAAAAGCTTTTTTTCAGGGAAATTCTTCTGTCGATTTTATGTTAAATGCTCTTAGCACATATCAACATTTAATTTTAGATGAATATCTGTTAGAAAGTGTTTGTTATAAATTTGAGATAAGATTAACGCAAATACTGAACTAAAATCGTGTATGCTAAGCCTGGGTTGAATAAAAACAAGCAACGATTTTACTAAGAGTCCGTTGATGCATCTTTCTATAGAGAAATGGAGAGAAGAAACCCCTCATAATTCCCTCTTTTGTTGGATGGATACAAAATTCTGCTGAGGCTATAATGTTCAAGTGCATGGTATTCAAACTTTCGAATACTTTCTGTTAATTAAAAGTTAGCGGAAATAAAGCAATCTATTTTAAAATTCATGTGTCATTCGTTCGAAAAGTCTCCTTTACATTTGACCACAAAAATTTTCTAAATCGTGATCGCATCTATCGGATTTGTCGCTTAATAAAAGAAGCTCAAAATGTGTCAAAACTCTTCATTAAAATTTAAATCTCGGTCTCTGCAATTCATTCACATATAACCGCATACATTTTAACCGCAAATTCTTATTTTTCTAAAATGCACAAGGATTTGTCGATATAAGTGAGCACAAGTGAGTGAAAGTATGGAAGCATTAGGAATTTAAAAACAATGTCATTTCGGCAGAACATACACAACAGATTAAATATTCAAATCTACAACGTGCTTGTAAGCGTGTTCGTATGCATGTATGCATTTATATGCACGTGTATATGGATGCATATGTTTATGTGTTCGTATTTACCTTGCACGATAGCCAGTAGTAAATAATTTTGAATTACAAACAGAATTGATCGCATAGAGCAGACATACAAGTGCACAAATTTGCTCACTTGCTATTAAAACGAATAAGCAAATATTTTAATTCAACTCCACCGCCATCACCATCGCCATCGTCACCGCCATTAGCAATGGCATTGATTATCTTCGATTTTTGCCTAATATTATCTTTTAAATAACCCTTACACAGCACATAGATAAGTGTGTAAATGTGTGATGAAAAATTTTACAAATCTTATGACGATACAAACACGCAAACAGACAAAGTCAGAAAAACGTCCGCTGCAGAATTCACACAGAGTGGCTGATAGTAGATAAGCTTTAATAGTTCTGTCATTCGGCCATCTGTCTCGCAAGAGCAAAATTGAAAGAACGCAAAAAAAAAGAAAATAACAAAAGAAAAAACTCCTGAGAACCTAACAACTGTTAACAGTATATGTATTTTAGGACATTGTTCATATTTCAAATGCGCGTGCATGGAACGTTTAAAATCGACGCTGCAATGCATTTTTATGTTTTTTTTTTCTTTAAATAAAGTACTAAGGAAATCGTTCAACTATTTTTTTTTTTTTCTTAGAAACTGTAAGAAAACTTTTACAGAGTCATTATTAAACTCTTTTGTTTTCAATTTCTTTTCATCAATATTTAAGGGAATTTTTTAAGCACTTTAATACACTTACTCGCAGGATATTACCTCTGTTACTTGACCCGCGGTCACTCATGAATTTAAACGTTCCCGATCGTTTAGTTGACTTGCAAAGTTTAGATACGAATAGTGTTTCAAAATATGTCCTCTGTTTAAAAGCAATTAGCAACTTTTCATTTACATCTCTCTACTTGCAATCCCTATTAAGTAGATAATCAAAGTAAAAGACACAAAAGTTACTGTTGCGATTGTTTAAGTAGAAAATAATAATCCTTCAACCATTGTACGCAACACGCCGCTCTTTAACGTCTGTCGTAGTGTTGAAACTACGAAAACCATTAAAAGCGTTCTAGTCGGACAATACATTCTCACGTATTTTTGCTATTCAATATAAAAAATGATTTATTATTCCCATATCAAGGCTTCTCTTTCTTAGCATGTCTTACATGGGAATTGGCGCAAAACGCGGGCAGAGGTGCTCGAAATGTAGCCACGTGAAAGGACTTATGATGCTTCACCTATTTTCATTATTGTTCCAAAGGATCCTTACATGGAATGCGATATTGTGTAGGCCTTTCGTAGGCTCATTGCCATCTTAACGGCTTCATTTCCATATAAGAAGTTATTTCTTCTAGAATTAGTCCCATTCTATCCAAATTGATGTCAAAATGCCGCTATTGACCGATTTTCATCCAAAAATATTGTAATTGCATATAGTTATTCATATAAGACGTCCCTTTAAAAAGGGCATTATAGGGGTGGGGACTAAATTCTTTTAAAATATCTTGAAAATTACGATCGGCAACTTAAACACAAACGGACGAAGGGACTTAAAGGCTTACTATCTTTCGATCACAGCGCTATCTCTTTTTAATCTAACGAATATTGTAACTCACTTTGGCCATATCCCCGTTAATGTCTAAAGTTCGAAAAATCTACTGATCTCAATAATGGAAAAAGAAGCGCAGCTTATATATCCATATAAATGGACTTATCAATGAACTTGTTCAGTCCAGTGCACTACAAATTTTAAATGTCATATATTTACTTATATTCACATTCAAGTTAAGATTGGCATTTGCTACCACTTTAAGAATATTGAGTGAGTGAAAAATAAAAGTGTTATTCTTCCGGTCGATTATTTTGTAAATGTGGCGGACCCAGAACCGAGCTTGCCGATTTTCTTATTCGATTTGACTAGAGTGGCACGGAAAAAATTGCAAACAAGCGCGATTTTAAGGACAACGGCTGTTCGTGAAATTACGATTTTAAAGCACGGACAGTCAGACAGGCATCTGTAGATCCATTCAGCAATTCAGGCTAATAAAAAATAGGTATACAAAACGACGGAATGTGCGGAACTTAAAGACATTCACATATGTTTTTATAAAAATAAAAAAAAATCCCATATCGAAAGCGAAAAAATCACTTGAGAAAGCAAAGAATTGTAAACAATAGCCAACAGTCAGGTTCAAACTATCATGTTCCTCTAATGAGAGAGAGAGAGAGAGAGAGAGAGAGAGAAACCAAACCCATTATGAGCATATTTAAATGAAAAACTAAAACAAGTTTAAGTCATTGTAGCGTTGTTTTCTTAAATACATGTACATATATGTATATGTTGTTAAATTTAAACTTTTTGTTTATTCATCTAACAGATCGGTTCGTTTTTTATGATCAACCTTTGCCTTGTTGTCATTGCGACACAATTCAGTGAGACGAAGAAACGTGAAATGGAACGTATGCGTCAAGAAAGGGCACGCTATACATCTTCTTCGACTTTGGCTTCTAGCACGAATAATTCGGAACCGGCAACCTGTTATGCGGAGATCGTTAAATACATTGGTCATCTTTGGCGGCGCTTTAAACGGCGAATGTTGAAGAAGTACAGATTATATAAGTATGCTGAATGTAGTTTCGATTTCTTTTTCATTTTGTATTTAAATTTGAGTTTTTGAAACTGAGTTCTGTACTTATTAACCTAAAGTACATTTAATATCGTTGACCGAAAAAACCTATCAAACCTATTAACTACTAACCAAGCGTAACGATCCTGCAACCACCACATTCCCATTTTGATGATTTGTATGTTTAAATTTAAGGAAAAAAGTAATTGGAATTAAATCCAAACCAAGCGATAAAAAAAAAACAAAACAACTTTAAGCACGGTTTAGAAAAGAAGAGAACTTGTAAAGCATGTTACAGACGTCGAGGTAAGCTGTCTGCTCTTTGTTTACCCAATTTAACAAAAGAGAAAAAAAAAATCAGTTAAGACCCAAAAAAAAAAAAAAACAAAAAACAAAGAGGAAACAGTTTTCTCTAGCATAAGAATAGCAGCATTCGCCTTTTACTTCATCATAAACTACCCTCTTGTTACTAAAGTACGTGGTTTCGTATATCTATGAAAAAAATGTCTTCATACCCATCACCGAAGGATGATGACGATTCAGTCTAGAACGTACAGAATGCTCAAAAGGAAACTTTAAAAACCCCTCAAAATTTCATATATTTTCACCAGTATGAAATTTTAGATCGACCTAGGTATGTTCGTCCGTCTGTGGGAATTCATGCTTGAAATTTAGCAGGATGTCGGCTTCAAAGTTAGGAAAAGCATTGGAAATCCTTGCGCTCGACCGCGAATGAAAATAGTGAAGATGGCGCGGGGGGATGAGGGGATCGGTAAACAGACACCTCAACAATATAACGTAAACTAAGAAAACTTCTGCTTTCAAAAACAAAAAAAGGCGGGTTTGTTTTTAGTCGTTAGCAAATATAGCGATTAAAACTTTCCATGTATTATGAGATAGTTAGTACCTGTCCAATATTGTGCGGTAATGAAATTTAATTTTTTTTAGTTCTGTATAAGCTACAGGTGATGGGTATAGAAGATTCGGCCATGGCCGAATATAATTTTTCACTCGTTTGAAATTCGAATCGTTTTACATAACAAATCCAGCGAAAATAGCATTACCGTTATATGTATATATTAATATATATATACGCGTATGTATATAAATGCGTGGATGTATGTGTGTGTTTGTGTATGAGTGACATACCTCTCTATATTGGCCCAATCGACATATAACCCAAGCAAAAATCCGTACGGTTTGAGTGCTTCGCCTTCTCCCACCAACAGACAACAACAAATATATACAAAAATAAAAGTTTGCTGCTTTTTAACGGGACTCAAAATGGTATCCAACAATAATATATTAATATTGTTAACTTCAGTCAGCAAATCTACATCCTCACCTACACAATAAAATCATACATTACGACAAAATAAATTAGAGCTAAAATCGAAATCAATTTGCTTTAGAATCAGTCACTTAAAGGAAAAAACAAACAAAATAAGAAAAAAAAGAAGAAAAAACTGTAAAAAAGCTATAAGGAAAAGAAACCATAAAAATGTTTAATTAAAGGAATGTATGAAAAATATGACGTTGAATGACTTTGGTTGCCCTCATCTGTATAGTTTTTCACATTTCACAACCTTTATTATGGTTTTTGTTTTACGTTTTTGGTTCTTTTACCCATTCACTACTACCAAAGAAACCACACACATATCCGTATTTTCTGTACATATTTTAGTTGAAGAGCTTTTAGTTAAGTGAAAAATAATATCAATTGAATTTTTATGCATGTATATGAAAACTGCAAGTCTTCGTTTCTTTAGATAAGATAGAAATTACAAAAAATTAATACATACTTATGATACTGATACGGATATTAATCATGCGGCAATTTATTAAGCGTTAAGCAAATGTCAAAAAAAAAAAAAAAATTGCGCCTATAGTAGGAAAAATTTAGCATACATTTGCTTTATAAACAAAAAAAAACTTGTTTCTGAATAAACGGGCCTGTTCAATAATTTTATTACTCTAAGTAAACTTTTCTTAACCTTTTCTTACTGCAACTACTTTTACTAAAAACAGTCTATAATTTATTCACATTTCTCTACGATTTGATTTCTCAAAAGTTTGCCATATGTCACAGGAAAAACAAGAAAAATCATCACTTACACATTGTCACACATTTCTCATAGATTCTTCCATCAAAGTTTTCGACCGGTTGCAGATATAGAAAAAGATTTCAAAGTGTCTTTACAACTTTTTAAGTAACCTTTTATCAAATTCGCATGCAAAACTCCAAATTTTTCTCTACCTATCGCATATTCTGACAATAGCAAATATTCGTATCGGGTTAAAGATCAATATCTTACGAAAACTGCAAATTAACACTTTTTTATCTACTCAAGGCATTCTGGCAGACCTTAACATTTTAACTAAGTTTAAGACTAATATTTAATATGAACAGTAAATTATTATTTTTTTACTTATTGTTAATATCATTGTGGACGGATCTCACTTATTTTCGAGCTCGCTCATTATATTACCTGTTTTAATTTTCCATCTCGCTTTTGCGAGCGTATAGCTTCGAAATAACAAATAGTTGAATCGATAAAAAGACTGAGTTAAATTGACTCGAAATTTAACGTTGATGCACTATATAGAAAGGTATATTTCCAGTGACCTTTGATGTGTATCAAACTGACTGTCTCGTATACCAAAGGATGATTATTCGCTGATGGATATAAAAATTCATGCATACAATGTTTTTGAGGGAAATTTGAAATAATTGATTCATTAATGTATTATATATGTTAAGATTCTTCTCTCATTTTTAGGCACATTTTCTAATCAAAATCAAATGCATGCAATAATGAGATACAATTTTATGTTAGCATTAGTTATTAGTTATATATTTAACGTAAGACTCATACGTCCCAAGCACTAATTTTCTGTTTTCATTACGTGTATTGTTCTACTAGTTGCGCCATTGATTGTACCTTTAAGGTGGATGAAACTAATTATCAATTTCTGTCTCTCCATCACTAAATCATTTCAAAAAATTTAAATACAAAAATGAAACTTTACGTATACATGAACTGATATAAACAGTAGAGAGATAGCGTGCCAGTTTGATATCAATGAAAATTTGCGACACACAAATTTCTTATAAGATCAGATGGCGCGCCTTGTTTAGACGTTGATTATTTAAGACGCCTTCAAAATACAATATGATAATGTCAGACCCGTCGTCACTGCTGCAATAATTGAAATAGCAGGCAATAATGTAACCCGAACTTTATAGCTTTAAGTTCATAAATCAAGTTCACAATCGTATATCCGCTAGTACGCTTTCATGCTTAAAAATAGCCAATGGTTATCGGAGCCCTGAAACTATGTAGTTTTTTAAATTGTTTCTTTCAATATAAATATACATCTTTTAAGCTCTGTCACAAACATTAAGCTTTTGATTTGTTGAAGAATTTTATTTTGAAAATTTTTGGAAAACCAAAAAATTCAAACTAATTTTCAACACTCATAGAGTTGAGATTTACTTAAGCGTAGCTTTTTCAAAATAATAAAGAAAGTTTTTCATCAATGCTCTATACTCCATTTTAATTAATTGATAGGACTGTACATTTGCTTAACCTCTTCAGCAACTTTATTTCTTTTTAAAATAAAAAAGTAAAATAAAATATTGCATTGGCTTCTGCATTGCAAGCGCTTGCATTGGTTTAGAATGTTAAATAACTTAAAACTGTCAAAATTCATCTGTCATTGCGATGAAATTCATTTAATAAGTAAAACGCACGCAAGGATTGCCAACGCATTTGCTAATTGAGTACTAGAAATGCATGATCATGATGCTTTAAACTCAATTATTTTGAGTGATGAGACGCATTTTCACCTTTTTCGCAACGCAAACCAGCGAAATTGTCACGCCTGGGGCTCCGAAAATTAGACGGAAATAACCAAAGAACCTCTTTAGTCACAACCATAAGACAACGGTTTTTGATCTGGAAAAAAGTTTTTCGAAAGTGCTCTCGGGTACAATGTTGACTGATTTATTTCTTTCTTAACGTCGTGGTTGGATGAAGCACCATGTCGCCTGCTACAGAGCTCGCAAAATAATGGCTCTATTGCGTGATTCTTTCATCAAACCATCAATCCTTTAGTCATAATAGGCTATAAGTGAGCGCTCAATCAAAGTACGTTCCTGAATCAATTAAACCACTTCCCAGCCAGAAGAATTTGGCCGAAATGTGCTCTTGAAAATGACAGGGGACGCCATTATCCTAACAAAAATCCTAAACATTTTAATATCATGCAAAGTGTAACAAAAAAGCAAAATTCTAGAGATTAATATTTATAAAGAATAAAAGTATACTTTTTTTAGTTATTTGTTTTACGTCCTTTTCTAAAACTGAATGCATTATTCTATGCATTTTTTCACGTTTTTCAATGTTCTCCATTTTATTTCTCTCTTATTAGAAGCAATACTTTTTCAAATGTTTTTTTCACCGATGCTTTTACTTATTTACCTCTGGTTCGTCGCAAAATTTTTATAAACTAAACTGAACTTCATCTTTGTATATAATTTTCTGCATAACACTTCAAATCGTATCGAAACAAATATTGAACAAGCCCGTTATTTTTTTTTTCCTTCTATTAGACCTTTAAATTTTTCTGGCTGACTTTTCTGCCCATTAGAGCAAAGTTTTGATTTTGTTTTTTTTTTTTAGTTCTGCAATATATAAAAATATTTTTGTTTTGTTATTTAATTCAATGTTTAGAAGAATTTAATGTTGATTATTTGTTCGTTTTCAATTTCGATCGATTCTATTAATGCTGCTTTTTCTTTTTCTACTTTTCTGTTGACATTTTCGTTTCGTTTCGTTTCCTCCAAATAATAAAAAAATGTATATATATATACATAAAATATACGCGTATATACATACGTATATATATATATATATATATATATATATATATATAAATATATATATATATACATACATACACGTACGCACGAACAAATCAACGCAACAAATACACACGTTCACATATACGTTTAATTACGACACACCTAAAAATAACCGACTACCGCTGCCATTGCTGCTACAATCAATCGAACAACCAATCATCCAATCGGCTAACTAACGGCAATTCAGGTATCAAAGGCAGCAACGTAAGGAAGGTTTATTGCCGAATGCGGACAATTTGACATTTTCGCCGTCACGTATAAAATGCCACCATCCCAAATGCCCGAAATACAACAGCGATAAGAATCGCAAGCCGTCCAGTATACAAGATCAAATGATAACTGTGATGGTGCCGTTAAATTCAAACAACAATAAGACCGTTCTGAACGGAGCCGGTACCGGAGAAGGGATGATTAGTGTTAATAATCATCAACAGAATCATCAACAACAACAGCAAGGCGGTAACAATAATAATATACAAACGCAGAGTCAAACAACAACAACGAATGGCGTAGATGGCGGGAGCGGAGGCGTCGGTGGCAGTGGAGACATCGGTGACGTTTCCGCTACTGGTGTAATGACCTTCTTGAATGGTATAAATAACGGTAATAACACTATACAAACTCATCATTATCAGCAACAACATTCCTCATCAGATAATTCAGAACATTCATTAGAAACAACGCAAAGCAAGAAAAACTTCATGAACCAAACAAAAGCAGCTATAGAAGCCGAGCAGGGATTCAATAAGCAGCTGCAACAAAAAACGATCCTTTTAAAATTTTCCCAAAATTTCATGGACTCGGAACAATTAATTGTAAGATATTTTATTCTCAAAACACATATTTAATACATGATTTAAATACATGAAGAAGCTTTTGATAATATTTTCAAAAATTATTTCCAAAATTATTCTAAAAGCTCGAATTCTGTGAAGCAAAAAATAATAAGCACTAATATCTTCTTTAAACACACACACATATATACACATATACATAACTTTTATTTAACGACAACAAACATCGTCAATTTTATTATTGAATCAATTTCTTTTTTCATTAATTAATACCAACTCTTGCCGCAATTTAGCTGCAATTGGGAAACATAGGCAAACCCAAGCATGTAAGTGCCAACTAAGTTAATGTACAGGTCGTAGCGCAATTTGCTATAATCATAGATTTCTCAATGTTTCAAAAAGTCCCTTGCACAAGTTGACCTAAGCGCATTATTTACTGTTTTCTCGTATCATTCTCGTATCATTTGCATTATTTGCACTGAACTTAGAACGGACATTTTTTCTAGAATTTTGCGCCCGAATCAAGTACTAGAAGAACAAAGAGAAAGTTCATACGAGAATGTAAATGTGTGTAATACCAGTAAATAGTTTGATCTATACGTTTTGAATTTCAATACCTTCTCACTTCCTTTCATTCCATGCAAGCCTTCTAGCAACTTATGGATTAATTTGCCTGTTAGTATAAAATAAATGTCTTTCTCTTCCATTTAGTGAAACAGTTTTAACTTCGTAATCTTTTCTCCTCCCGCAATTATGAACAATAAGGTTAGAATTGTTGAACTGATAGGAACTACGAAATTCATCCGCGCAATCACTACTGTGTTTTCAACTAAGCAATTCAAGCAAGTAGACGCATTTTGTTATATTTACCTACTTCTTGATCAACATTCCGACTCATTTTAAACAGCAACTTTGTGGCATTTCGGTTTTCCTCTCGTTAGTGAAGGGAGAGTCAGTTTCCCATGAGTCGTTTGTTTCAGCGAATATATAAAAGTATTTCATTTAAGTTGTCAACCGTTGGATATAGCAACAAAATCAATGATCTAAAGACCATATCAAGGATGTCCTGTTCATGTCTTCTCATTGCCTCTGATTTATTAGACAAGATGTACAAGGTATATCAAGCTGCGCATCGTTTAAGGAGACCGTTCCTTTTTTTTTTTGATTGTATTTTAAATCAAGATTTTGTAGCCGACTGGAATATAATTACAAAATAATTGCAAATTCCGAAAATATGCTTATTTTCTGATAATGAACTTACTGAATTTTTCTCTCAGACGCATCCGTGTACATCCGGATTTCTAAGCCCACCTTCAGCAACCAGTCGTCGTCCTTCTGTGATGTTTAACGAATATGTCCTACTACATACACCACCTGCTCTTAAGGACGCAACAACAGCTACCGAGAAGACAGTAAGCTCATCAGAGAAGATGACTCAGGCGGGCGATGGCAGTATTTGGCAAGTAAGTTGTTTTTAAATTAAAACGCTTTTAAGCAAGCGAATAGTCATTTTGATGTTTATATATAATGATTATATATCTTTAGGTTAATCTCCCACAAACTTTAGGCACGATTACGAATCCCTACGCGGATTGTTCGGATCTTGGTATACACGACGCAATGACTTGTCAAGAACTTCTAGCATTTTCTGTGGCATTCTCAGCCGCCTTACCCACGGGCCAAAGTACACTCGAATCCTTTTACAATTCATTGGCACGTTGTGACCCTCACACAGTAGAAGCTATACGCAATCAACAGAATCTCGAAAATACCGCTATGGTTCTGCAACAGCAGCAACAACAACAGCAACAACAACGTCGTCAACACCAACAGCAAAGGCAATCAACCTATGAAAAGAAAGCTTTGGAGGCTATTAGTTCCAACGGTGCTACTCATCGTGCACCGGTGACTGTAACAGGTCGAGCAGGAAATTACATAGAAGACTATTCCTGCTGTTATGATCTATATCAGAACGTTTTATCGCCATTGGAAGATAGAACGAGAAAAAGATCCCGATGTATGCGAGCGACTCTAATGATCTATCGTTGCATTATGCATATATGCGGTTTGTGCCGCCGCTATATACGACGTCTCGTTGAACACAAATATTTTCAACAGGGAATTTTGCTTGCCATACTCATTAACACCTTGTCCATGGGCATCGAATATCACAATCAACCGGAAGAGTTAACTGCCATTGTCGAAACCAGTAATATAGTGTTTTCGGCAATATTTGCTGTCGAAATGTTGCTCAAAGTGGTAGCTGAGGGTCCCTTCCGTTACATAGCCAACGGTTTTAATGTATTCGATGGTATCATTGTAATTTTAAGGTAATTTACTTGCTGAATATATACATTTTCCTATATGCCTCTCGTAGAAAGAACATAATTTATTTATATTATGCTGTTACTGCTATCTATTCTAGTGTAATCGAAATTTGCCAGCAGTTTTTGGGTAATGGGACGGGTGGCGGTGGTTCTGGCCTATCAGTGTTACGTACGTTTCGTTTACTACGTATTTTAAAATTGGTACGTTTTATGCCCAATTTGCGGCGACAACTGTTTGTCATGCTGCGCACAATGGATAACGTGGCTGTATTCTTTTCTCTCCTGGTATTGTTTATTTTTATATTCAGGTAAGTTGTTCGTTTATAGGGCGTTCATATATGTAGTTTATATATAATATATATAAATAGAGATAATCCAGAATCCCGTTCCAGCCTTTTCTTCCCCACTCCTTATGTAAGAACATCTACTATTTACCAAGAAATCTGACTATTCAGTTTTCTAGAATTGGACCTGAGTTCGTTAAAGTCCTTATTTGAGATATCTTAAATGTGTTCCAGTGAGCGAATCGCATTCTATAAAATCTGGAATTGCATATAAGTTTATGATAGCTTAATTTGTGGATGTTCTAACCTTTTTGCAAGAAAATGAGAAGCGTCCAATCAACTCCTCCGTATAACATTTAACAATTAGATTAGACTTCGTCCACTTCCTACAACTAGTAGTACTTACAGTTTCCATAATCTCTCTTATTCCCGCACAGTTTAATACTTTAATGACTTTTAAGAAGAGGAAAAGATAAAACAAAAATTAGAAGGATGAAATCACAACAATTTGGCGATAATAATAAATGAAAAATTTTTAAAAGTACAAAGTTTAGCCATAAGTTTTAACGCAAACAATGAGGGGAGAAGGATATAAACTTTTATCAGATTCAAATTTATTTATTCCCAATAGGCGAAGTATTTTTGTTTATGTCATTAGTAATTGAATATAATTCAACAGGCTTCGCTTGAGTGCATTTCAATATTGGCTAATATATTGTTGTTTTTTTAAATATGTAATAAAAGTAAAAGGAGCACTTTTAACAAACTGAAGTAGCAGTGCTTGAAAACTTGCGACTGCCAGTGAAAATTAAGACAGCTTTATAAAAAATGTGTAAAATGAATGAACGGAATATCCACGAAATTGTTTCATGATAGAGGGATACACACTTAATATGTTTTTCTCTCTCCCTCTCTCTCTCTCTCTCTCTCTCTCTCTCTCTCTCTCTGTCTCTCTTTTTTCTATCTTCTGTCTCTATCTCCCCCTCTATCTATCTACCTATTTATCTCCATCTCCCTCTCTCGGTCTGTGTTCCCTTCTTCACTATATTTATGTAACTATCTCGTTTCCTGTCTCTCCTTCTCTGTATTTGGAACTCCTCTCTCTTGCGATAATATTCTTTAGAATTTAAAACATATTTTTCGCGGCTTACTCTCTTCCACTCTCCCATATTGTATTTCTTAACATTTTCCAATTAAGCTACTCTCTTAAAATAAACTATAAAACTTTAAGCATTGGTTGCTGTCTCAACGAAGTATTATATATGTATAAATATAAAAACCCGACCCCCAGTAGTTAGATGGACTGCTTTTCTCACGCCTCGTTAAATTATGTACTTATATTTTTTCTTTCAACTTTTCTCACCATATAACAACACTAGCTTTGCAGTTCACTTAAAAAAACACACGATACACTCTTATTTCTTCTCTCTCTCTCACTCTCTCTCTCTCTCTCTCACTCTCACTCTCTCTCTCACTCTCTCTCTCTCTCTCTCTCTCTCTCTCTCTCTCTCTCTCTCTCTCGCGCTTTTTGACTTGACACTTAAGAACACAGATAATCTTTTTGATCTCAGCATTTTTTTCTTTGTCTAACTTTTCTTTCTTTGATCTATCAAAAAGTGTTAAAACAAAATTGATTATTTCCCGTTTCCTTCAAACGCATATCATTTACTTTTTCATCTTATTTAGTATCGATGATGATTTCTTTGTGTGTGTATTTTTAGTGGAAACATTAGAGGTAATCTTTAGAGCCATTTGCTAAAACATATTCATTTCGTCTTAATAATTATACGTAGATCGTCTTATTATAAAAAATCATCTACATTTGAAATTAGTTAGAATATTGATTCCATGTTGCCTCAAGTATTGCAATAAAACCTTACATATTACATAGAGTAGTTAGATGTCCATAATAATGTTTGGATTTAATTGTTCCTCAAATCGTAAATTCTTAACTCTAAATAATCTTTTATATCTATATTAAATGAAATAATAATTATTTTAAAACGAAATTTCTAAATATCTATAAAGTAAACTTGTGTCTACATTTTAGCTTCTAAGGTATAATTTTGCTAATGACACTAAGAGCCCTTCTCGCATAAACTTGATTTATTTTTAATTTTTTCAAATTATGAAAATTTGAGCTAAACTAAAATTACCACAAAAAATGACATCAAGTCGTGCTGATTTGAACAGAACTTTCGTTTAAAATGACCATCACGCCAGCCATACGAAAGACGGCGAGGGTACATTTTTTAACTTGTATAAACGATATCTTTGGAAAAGGGCTAATAAGATTTGTTTTTTTTTTTTTTTTGGAAAAAAAAAAAAAGTACCTTTGGAACGAATCTTGGATACGCACCTTCGCAATCATCGTAAAGACTTTTTCTTTATTGTCCGCAAACCGTCATTTCTAAATTCCCCTTTGATATATATATATATATATGCCAAATATTTACATTGACATATACAATAATTTACACGCCTCTGATGATGATTTTTGAGAAATTAATTTTATACGTTTTTTTCGCCCTGTACTCACCCAGCGTAAGCGTATCCTTCAATTTAATATCTCAGTTTTGAAAATTACAAGCGACGAAAGGGTGGATAACGGATAAACAAATTTACCAATAAATAAAATGTATTTGTGGTTTTAACGATCGCCAAAATGTAGATTGCGGAAATAATAAATCTCTTTAATACGTAAAAACTATTTACCACTTGAAAGTTTGTTTATGAGAACCAAGCAAACTTTTCATAAAAAACAGTCCAATGAGCCTTTTCTTGCTTATTTTCCATTAAATCGCAGAATTTTGTGTGTAACAGGTGTGCTAGATCATATTTGATTACTTCGGGTTACTTCAAGGGAGCTCTACTCATGTTTTCGGAATGTCCAGACAGATAAAAGTCCTTCTTAAAACTTATTACCATGAGTTGACAATGAATATCGAATCTTTCACATCCAGCGAATGGTTTGTTGACCGAATACTGCTATTTTTCTTCCATTGAATAAATTGTTACTCTTAATTTTGATCTTAAGAAAAGAGTGCGGAATTCTTTCTTAAGCTTTGTCACAACTTTTGTGCATTTTTTTCTTTGTTTTTATTTTCACATTTGTGTTCAATGCTCTCTTAAATGTGCTCATTTTCCAGATAAGAATCTTGTATTATTCATTTCTTTCTCTCAATCTCAATTTCATGCCAATATCTATTTATCTCTCTCTTTCTTTCTTTCGTCTTTTCTCATCTTCTCTTTTGCCGTCTCCGTTTCTTGTCTCTTTTCGTCTCTTTCTCTCTTATCTCTCTCTCTCTCTCTCTCTCTCTCTCTCTCTCTCTCTCTCTCTCTATTTCTCTCTCTCTCTCTTTCTTTTACTCTTAAATTGACTATTAATTAATTAATCCTCTGTACTGTATGAAAATATTTAAATAACTCAATTTTGTATTTTAAAATACTTTTTTGAAATTATTTTTAAATAAAATGAATTTTTTTAAATATATATATATATTAAAACCAATAAAAATTAAAATAATTATAAATTTGTTTAAAAATAATTTTCATACAACTTTAAAAATCTGTTGTTGTATATGTAAACACCGCGATATACGTAAACGAATTAAACAAATTCATCAAAATCGAAATCAATCAATGAATTAATTTAGTATACTTGGCATGAATCTATTCGGCTGTAAATTCTGCGAGAAAATTAAGGGCGAAAGAATATGCGATCGTAAAAATTTCGACAGCCTACTCTGGGCGCTCGTCACAGTGTTTCAGGTAGTTGTTGCTTTTGTTTTTCATATGCTTAAAAAAAAGAAGAATAAGTGAAGTTCTTAAGAATACTAATCACGGCATTATTTCAATTACGATTATCATTATTAATGATAACAATAATAATAATAATTAAAAAGTGATTTAGTTATGTATGATTTGTGTTATTTAAGTGTCATTTCAGATAATTTTAAATGTTGTGTTTATTTGTATATAATTTTCGTGTTTTTTTCCTTTTGTCTTATTTTTTAATATTTTTCCACTTTTTTCCCATACATATATATATATATATATATATATATATATATATATATTGTGAAGCCTTTTTAACTAATAATCAAGAACAATAAATGAGAAAAACTCTTAAGTTGTATTCAAAGGATTGTTGCTTCGATTTCATCCCGTCCCTTCATATACGCCTGACAAGCTGTTATTGGCATATTTTTGTTTTGGGTACTAGTAAAAAAAAAAGAAAAAATATTTTAATTTTGTTTTCATTTCACTTGCCACTTAAGGAGTCACCTAGTCGTTGTAATCTTAATTGATAAGCGAACACTTAAACTTTTTATATAATCTGTAAGCATTTTCTTCTAAATGCATTAAATAAAATATTAAAATACGTAACAATACACCCCCCCCACCCACCCCCTCAGGTAAGCATTATGAATTTAATTATATATCTCTATATATATATATATATATATATATATATATATATGTATAGATATATTATGCACTCTGCACTGAAAGGAAAAAGGGAAAACTATTCGCATGGCTTTTTTAAATTACTTGTATTTTTACTTGTATTTTTTATTCACTGTTCAGCACTTGATGTAATTGCTTGGATTGCTGTTCGATGTTATACTGTTGTTGTTGTTGGTGTTGATGTTTAACGTTAATTCGTTGGTTGTTTTACTCTTTCTCGTTTTCTTCCCCTCTGCATGCATCATGGTTTCTCTCCGTATATATGCTAACTCTTCTATGGTTTCATTGCAAACACTATTTCACACTTCTCGCCTTCTCTTTTTTAAAGTTTCGACTCCTAACCCTGGCTTCTTTATGTACATTTTTTCTTTTCCTTTTTTGTACTTTTGAAACATGATTTTTTTTTTTAATTTTTTTCAAGGTGTGCAAAATTTCATTTTTTTCTTTTTTCTCTTTTTTTTACTGAATATCACTTTTAAATGTTAAGATTTTTATTAATGAATTTAAAAAAATATATAAGAAAATTCCCCACTGTACTCTTCTCAGAGCTATCTGCCCTCTATATATAAAACTTCGAGATATAACAAGCCAAGCACCTCTTTTCAGACCAGTAGCTACAAACACTTATGGTTAGACGATACAGGCGAGAAAAGGAATTTAATTAAAATGAGATTGGAAAGCATAAAAAACAATCATTTCTTGTGAATTTTGCTTAGTAAGAGTACAGATCAGCATTGGTTACTTCCTGTAATCAACTAGTGTCGAAGACAGAAGTTTGCTCCTCAAAAGAGCGAACACGGTTTACATTTTTACAACTTATGAGCTAATGTTGCGCATCAATAACAAATCCTCTGACAAAGGCCTGTTTGGTGGCATGTAATCATAAAAATAAAAATGAAATTTGTAAAGCAATCTGTGTCCGTTATGGTCGAATTTAACCATCGTCTATTATCACAAATGAGACTCAAGATATTTTAAAAAAGGAAGAAAGCTCTTTCCCTCTTAAAACGAATCTTTCGTATTCTTCGGAAATATAGGCTTAAGAGAAAAGATCTGGTATTAATTCTGTAACAACCTCACTATGAAGAACTAGATATTCGGGAATTGTGTCACGTCATTTTACCTTACATTGGTATATGATGTAATACGTAACACTCAAAAAGATTTAAGGTATACGTACCGTTTATTATTCCCATCGACTCCAAACCATTCTCTAATTGGATTTAAGCTTGTCTCTTTGTCCGCATGTCTATCTGCATGCTTATCCATGCATTCTTATTCCAAACACAACTCATGATTTTGAGGTATCTTGATGAAATTTAACACATTGACATTTCCTGACCCAAGGGTGTTGAAAACGAGCAGAATCGCTATATTTTTACGACCCTCTTCTCAGCATGTCTATCTAGATCCTTCTGGATACCACGTACATCCACACTAACTTAACATAATGGTACAAGTATATGATGAAATTAATGAAAATATGACAAGGCGAATTTTTAATGCCTCACGATTCTAATGGTTCTTGATCGTAATTTCACGTAAAATGTAAGCGTACCAAATTTAGACCATGTAAATTTATATTCCGAAACCCGATCCATATAAGGATTCCCATAAAATTTAAGCTATTATATGATAAAAAAGTCTAATTTGTAATACTGTAATACCAAAATAGATGAAGACCAACACAGTCTACGTAGTCCTTGACGACGATATAGTTTTGCTAACTTTAGACCGCGTCAAATCGCGTAAATGCAATTTTCTTGTTATCTCTATTATTGTTCTTCATGATATTTTGGCCGTAAAAAATAACAAATTAAATTTTATTACCGTACAAAGAGTTATTCTTCTTAAGATATATGACAGATAGTGGAATCTAGGATCTAGGATGTGATCGAAATTTGCTACAATTCATTTTTATGTCAAAATGCTATTAACGACCAATTGTTGCTATAAAATATTAACACTAGAAAGGCTATAGTGGGCCGCAACCCATCACCGACCCATATATAACTTTTTCAAAATAAGGCGTCATGTGGAAAGTGGTCGAAAAAGTAATCCAATTCGAATTATTTTCAATAATGCTCGTCGTTGGGCCAAAAATCATCAATGTACCGAATGTTATCCAAATATCTCAAAAATTGTAGCCCGTGGTGTGAACGCAAATTTACACGGACACACAACAGACGGACAAGCAAGTTTAGGTGAGCCTATCTCAAACTCCTCTGGGTGTTACATACGCTTGCACAACCTACCCTGTACCACAAGCGATGTAGGGTATTAGGATGGATGCACCTATACATGCGCGTTGCTGGTGTTAAACAACAGAAAACAACATGTTAAGTCGTCACGCCCCATAAATAATCAATATATAAGGTATAGATGAAAACCATTAGCCATTTTGTACATATATAAATAAGGCACAATTCTTAGGTCTATTGCAACAGCAATCCAACCAGGTTCCATCGGCTAATGGGCGAACATCCTAATCACTAGACCATCTAATTTCAAGCAATTTCTATTTCGATTTTTTAGATTGAGGAAAGTAAAACCGAGCACAAGAAAACAAGGCGGACAGACGAATAAAGGAACAGACAAAATTAAATGGATTAAGATCGCTATTATAAAAGATCTCCGGCCCTCGAGGGTGTTGCTTACATCCACATCAACCTAATATATCCTTGTACCACAAGTGATATGTAAAGGCTTATCCTTCGCGAAAACATTTTTTTTTGGGGGGGGGATGGGGTATAAAAGTAGACTTACGTAGCCGAATTTCGGTATAGTTAGTCTTTATATCAGCTTATAAATATGGATCATAATTTACGATGAGATATGAGAAATAAGGCATTCTTGCCACGTACAGACATACTTTTCGTAGAACTCTTATATGGAACTAGGTTCAAAAAATTTCTATCATATGCTATCAATTTATTATGCCGAAATATTTTCTTTTAACTATTTTTGTGGAGAGAAAAAATGAAAATACAAATTTTTTCATATAATAAAGGATAAAACATACCCCATACCTCGAGTGGTGTAGAGTATGAAAAATGAATTCCATGAAAATCACTGCATTACTGTTTTGCTTCCACTAACGGATGAGCCAGTGAAGCTATTTTTTTTGTCGCCAACAGACTTACAATAGTTAGTGATCTCTTTTCATTTCTCATTTCCTTTTCTCGCTGTCTCAACAACATAACCTATAAAAGCAAAAAACGATCGCCAGGCTTAGATGTGTAAATAAAATTGTTTAGGAACCTGCGAACTTATATTCCAAAATAAACTGTTATAAATTTGATATATAAGGCAAGAAACTGTAATACATTTACATGCCCTTTTATATGAATACTTATATATACAAAACATGTATGTGCGTAATAAAAACAATATATATTTTTTGTATGTAATATTTTTCCAAATACGTATATAACAATTAAAACAAACTATTATATAAAAAAATACATATTTATATTTATATACATCATTATATATATATATGTATATATACACATTATATATATATATATACATATATATATATATATGTATATATATAATGATATATATATACAAACATTTATACTTACTACTACAAAAACAAAATTACTACTATTCGTATGTGTATATGTATATGTATAAACCCCACAGCATACTGGGCATGTATCTGTTTGGCGGTAAGTTTTGTAAATTTATGGACGAGACCACCGGTATCGAAAGGGAATGTACGTGTCCCGAAATAATCAGCAAACATCCACAATGTGAATGTGATCGCAAACACTTCAACAACATACTCTGGGCAACAGTCACAGTCTTCCAAGTAAGAGAACAATTACCTCATTAGCAAAAACTATTAATTTCTACATATAAGACAAAATCAAAACCAATCCATCAATAAATATATATATATATATATATACATATATATATATAGTATATATATTTATATATATGTATATATATATATATATATTTATATATATGTATATAAACCATTGTTTATATAATATTATATAGACATACAGATTAATTTTTTTTGTTACGTTTTTATATACAAATATATACTTTTATTTTGGTTTCGTTACTTGTTTGTTTTCTATGCAAACTTCTTTTGTTAGATTATTTTTTTAATTTTCTTTTTTTTTTGTTGTTATAGGTTTGTAAATATGTTTGTTGTGTCGGAAACTTTTTTCATAACGAACCATTATGAGATATTTATTTTTCAAATTTTCTTCATAAGTAGTTAAAGTCAAAGTTTTTATTTTAGAAACACACACATATGTACATACATAAATTTTTATTTATTTCCAAGAATAATTTGAATTCTACGCTTTTGCCCTTAAAAGACTTTAAAAGGAGAACAAAAAAATAAAAATGCTATATGCGTCCTTAAAACGTTTTTACAAAAAAAAAAAATTTAGAAGAAACTCTTTAACTAAATTTGATTTGCTATTTATAACTTTAACGTATAATTTGATTTCGCACAGCACGTGATGGGAAGAATATTTCGAAAAAGTGTTTAAAAAAAACGGGATATTAGCAGCAACAAATTTGAAATAATTTTCAATATTTTTTGAGCATGTTTCTTAAGCGGGATCGCAAACATCGAAAATATACAAACAATAATTGCAGTTTCCTTCGAGGTGTTCCACGTTTATAAGGCCAGTGGCTACGATCAAAAACAAATTGCGCTCATCTTTAATGTAAGTCTGTAAGTAGAAGGAAACTTTGAAAGTTATTCTACTTAATACTTTTACAGGGCACTTATAAATATTTGATATAAATTGTTTTTACACCCACCACTGAAGGATAGGGCGTATACTCATTTTCTCATACACCCAAAAGGAAGCTTCAGAGACCCTATAAAGTATATATATTTTTGATCAGGATTAATTCTGATATGTCTGTCCGTCTGTGCGATTCCCACTGTTGGGACTCTTCTGGTCGTAAAAATGGAGCAATTGACCTCCAATTTAGCAGAAACATTAGAAAAGTCTGCCCGTTGGTGTTGAAAACGAACCAAATTGGTCGGAGTACAAGTCCGCAGTGAAGCATAAACTCAGCGTAACTATGTTTTTCTAAACAAAAATTTGTGGTTTTTTACAAGTTATAAAAGCTAGCAGACTGAAATTTTTCATATTAACTTTACGGAAAACTCTACTCTTTATCGGCCATGCCCACACACAATGTTACAAGTGATTAAATTTTCTTTTTTTCACTTTTTGGATGTTCTACGCTTATTAATAATCAATCATAAGTTAAACAAGAAAGAATGTTTGATATTATTTTGTACATTCTTCAATTAAAAAAACATATTATCTCCCTAAAAGTGGCAGTGAATACCACGTTCTGGTAGATTAATTTTTTATTAATAATGGCAGTGCCATGGGTATCAAATAAAAGGACTCGGAGAGTAAGGTAAGTGTGTTAATTGTAAATTAATCATAGTGGGCGGTATCAAGTTCTAAATCAATTAAAGCACGTCCGTCTGTCCTTCAGTGTAATTTCTGTTGTAAACATTGTCCTCGTTACAAACATCAAGCCATAGACTTCAAATCCGACAAAGACATTGGAATTTCTGGCACGCATGTTGGTATTAAAAATGGGCAAAATCGGTCCGAGGACACGCTCACACAATTACGTAAAGTGAAGGCACCACCGTTTTTCAAATGGAAAAAGAATTGATTTCTTGCTCATTACTCATAAACTATATCAGATAAATTTGCAACAATTTGAATGTGTACACTATGAGCGATATTCCAGTGCTCCTACAAAAACGGAAAAATGGAATGGAAAAAAATGAAAAAAATCGCCAATAGTGTGTCATAATTCCATATTTGTTTTCAAAACCATTATAATGCCGTATAATGCAAGCTTCAAAAACCCCAGAGAGCATATAAATCTTTGGCCTGTTTCAAATTCGGAATGCACTCAATCCATCTGTCGTTCTGTGCAACCGTGTAGTGCGTATAGTAAACATATTCCGATTCGCAAAAATGAGGATATCGCATACAGACTTGCCCAAGATTTTGAAAAGAATGCAAACTATTCAAAAAACACAGCTAAAACGCACCTATACGCCTATATAACAAAAATTGTGACCTCTTTCTTTTGAAAATGTACTTCCTTCCCTTCCTTTTTTTAGGATCACGGCGATAGATATAAAAGATACGGTCACGGCCGAATATAATTTTCTTACTTGTTATTCTATTTATTAGATTTATAATAGGGTTTGGGTGAAATTTAGTTCATGGTGTTTGCACCAAGTGCGTTTACGTTGATTTCAAGCATTACAGTAACGTCACTTGAAATCAAGCAAAACATCGCAACTGAGTCGTATTGTAGAGGCCGATAGAAGCGTTAGTTTCCTATACCATTTATGATACAGATATTAAGTTCTATGCGAACGTATGTAATACCCAGAAGAGCTCACGATGGACCCACTTTTTACTACACCGATAAATCCCGAAAATAAATCATTTGTCTGTCCGTCAGAATAGATGGATTAGTCCGTCTAATGCTTAACTGTGTATTTATGTTCAAGCTACAGCTCGCAATTTTTGAGGTATTTTGATGAAATTTGCCACAGTGACGCGGTTTGATCAAAGGGCGAACGTTATTGAAAATGGTTCGGATCGATTAATTTTTTTGATCACTCTTTGTATAATGCCTTGTTTTGAAAAAACCATTACATGGAAAAAACTGCATTTTCAAAATTTTTCGACAAAACTCGCTAAGCTGAAAACTAATTGGCTTAAATTTGAACCATACGGATCTATTTTTTGGGCCCCACTTCCTATAAAATTTCTCATGAAAAGTAAGCGCTTGAGAAAGAGGTTATACTTTTAGTATTTTATACCATAAAAATTGACCCAATTTAGCAATTTAGCAAAAAAAGTTAACGGTAGAAAATTTAGACCAAGTAGGTCCATTTTTTATACCCTAACATATATAAAGGTAATCATGGAAAGCGAGCCCTTATATGGAGAGAAAGTCTAAGTTCTTGTGTTGTTATGACGGGAACTGAAATATAGCAATATTTTTAGAAAGCGCATTAAGTCATGTGATGGATGAGTATCCCCCAACTAGCGGGCTTTCCTAAAAACTATGCTTTTGCATGAAAATAATATGCAACTTTTGGTGCATTATTACCGAAATGAGTGAATAACTGTACAAACAGAAGTGGTAAGGAGTATCTAACGGTTGGCCTTGCCCGGCTATAATGTTCCTACTTGTTTCATATTTAAACACTCATCATGTAGTTATATGTAAGCAAAAATCATACGTTTCTAGGTTGAAATTACTTAACGATTTCCTTGCATTACAATCATAAGTGGTTTTAAGTAATATGTGCTTCCATATATTTTGCTCAACAACATCTATTGATGAAAATGATAAAGTAAGACCAAATAAAAATGTATACAACGGTTAAATATTCCATTCAGTATTCTATGTATACAAACGCTAATTATGGGACACTCAAGATTGCGTTTTCGAAATTCGTTATTTTTGTTGTTAGATTTGAAATTGATTGAAATCTACTCGCAAAGCCCATCAAGCACTTTTAGAAGCTTATAGTGATACTGCTTCATCATAACCGAATTATCGATTTTGGCTTCAACGCTTTAAAAGTGCTGATTTTGAGATCAATGACAAAGAACGGCCTCGCGGACCGAAAAGGTCCGAAGACTATGAATTGCAAAATTTATTGAACGAAACTCAGTTCAACCACTCAATGGCTTTCAAATAATTTTCGAGCAGTTTAGCAATTGATAAATCAACTACATGTAAAGGGGAAGATCCAAAAACGAAGAAAAATGGCTGCGATATGAATTGACTGGAAATACCATTTCAAACTGTGTTACTATAGCGAGGATACGCTGTTGTAGTTCAAATAGGAAAATCTGACGCACCCATTATACTCACCATAGCCCTTTCTGATTAACACTTCTTCACATCGATGCAGCATGACTTGGCTGGTACGCGATTACGAAATCCTGAAGAGATGCGAAAATTGATACGTGCCAAAGTAATATCGTTTTCTTCCCACACGCTATCGTCATATTGGGAGAAAGATGGGAAAAAGTTGTAGAAAGTAATGGGAGACCATTTTGCTGTGACGGTTTGACAAAATCGCTGAAAATAGACTTGATGTAAACTCACTAGTCGTATATACATATAAACAACTGCGTTAGTTGATTTTCACAATTAGTTAATAATTTAAGCACCGAATGATAATCTGCTAATTATTGATAAGACTTGGTCACACTTGGTGAATCACCACAAATCTGAAATTCAACTTGCGAATGGCGGCTTAACAAGATCCACACGTCTCATGACAACACGTAAACATCGGTTAGGTTCTATTGCATATAAAAAAAATGTAGGATGGTGTGTTTTTAATATGTCGAAGACACAATTTAGCTATTTTTCTTTCATCAAAAAACTTCTTCTGAGAGCTCTTTTATATTAAAAAACGAAAATAGAAAAAAAAGGATTATATATTAATAATTAAAAGTAAGAGAAGCTATCATTAAATTTTATATTAAAAACAATTGCAAATATAAAAACATTTGTAAGATGCGCGCGTGCACTTTTTCGTTCAACCTCTATACCTGGGCTAAAGCATACCCAAGTAGTTAAAAAGTGCAACTATTAAGTCGACGTACTCGGATTCAATCCGCAACACAGTAGAGCATATTTTTATAGATATTGGTGTGTGGTCGTAGTTATAGTGAGACTGCTTGAGGGGATAAGACTTGTCGATCGGGCACATACCCCTAGATGATTCGTTACGCACAAAAAAACAAATACAGCTGTGCAATCTCAGCGATTCTCTAATTCCAAAATTAGATTGAATAAAACTCTCTGAATTTTATATATAAAAAAAATTTTCGCACAAGGACAATATGCTTAACTTCAAGAAATTATTGAGCCAAATACAGAATATTCTCTCAGAAACTTTCTTTTAATGGATTGCTCTAAAATATATGAGAAACTATGAGTTCATCATACGGCATTCTAAGAAAAAGTCCTTTAACGCAATCGATTAAAATAGACCGGGCCCCACCAGGCTTGCATGTGTATAACATTCTTACTGTTTATGGAATTGAGTTTTTTATATAGCGAAAAATGTCAAAGACAATGTAAATAACATCAAGAACATCGCTCTCTCATTCTTTACACACGGGTGGATGCTTAAATCCGAAGGAAATACTTAAATGAGTTTTTTCTTTTTTTTTCGTGCATGTGTAAATTTTTTAAAGAATTAATTTGCTTTTGCGTTTTGTCTTTTAACTTATCTTCCATAACTCCTCTATTCTGTTTGACTTAAAAGGCTTTTATTTCGCACGTTTTTTAAATAATTTCGATATTATTTGCTATGGTTTAAATATAATTAATTACAAGCAATTATGGACTGCGTTCAGCGAAAAATTTTGTTAAAAATCTGAGAAATGTTTGCTTTATAACGGTTGAAAGCATTGTTTTGCTTGCAATTATCATAAACTAATAAACCAATAAACACACACATATATATATATATAACACATGCAAACCTTTGTCTTGTATTCGATTATAAGAGAATTTGTTCCGTTACGTTCGCCCGTCGCAGCAATTTAAAGACAATAACAGCCTTTCTCCTCTGACAATGTCAACTTTTTTTTTTCTTTTCAATTTTTCCTTATTTTATTAAATTTTTTCCATTATAACTTCTTTCGTTTGTTTGTTTATAAAATGTTTTTGAGTTGTGATAATAAGTTTATTAAACTTTTTTCTTTTTTTTTTTTTGCATTCTTTGTTTGTCACTTATTCACTGTTCTCATTTCTGTTTGTACTTTTGTTGTTATTTAAAAAAATTTTATTTGAATTTAATTGAATTTAATTTTAATTGTCTCTTACATATATTCCATTGCGATTTTATTTTCTAAAAACACTCATTTTACGCTTCGATGTCACAATTTGTTTTAGATACTGACCCAAGAAGATTGGAATGTGGTGTTATTCAATGGCATGGAAAAGACCAGTCATTGGGCTGCATTGTATTTTGTAGCTCTAATGACGTTTGGCAATTATGTGCTGTTTAATCTATTGGTCGCCATTTTGGTTGAGGGATTCAGTTCAGAGGTAGAGTTTTATATAACAAACAAAAAAAAAAATATAAATAAATAAATAAATTGAAAACAACAATTTCGCGTCAAATTTTACGGAAGTGAAAAATATACACATAATATAATTACTATAAAAGAAGTTTACGTTATGGTATTTAGTTTAGCGGCACACCTTTATATCTTAAATGCATTTGTTTGATTAATTAATGAATTGAATTAGCAGCACTAAGGCACTCTTTTAACCAAAAAATAAAAAAAAATATTTTTTTAAAATAATTATTTCATTACCTGAGGAAAACCATCCCAAAAAAATTTCTTTTTAAGTCAATGTGTATATTTTTGACCATCCACAAAGAGAACTCGCATTCGAGTTGCATTGGTTTAAATTTTCGGAACAAAGAAAACATAAAAAGAATTGGCCGCCTACGACAAGCCTGAAAAATGGTGCTGAGAGAAAAGCAAAAAAGTCTTAAAGTCTAATTTTGAAATTTTGATTCCCTCAGCGAAATGAACGTCGTGAACGCGAACAACGCGAATTGGTTAAAAAATTGCGTGAAGAAACATTAGCGGAAAATTTTAGTGATGCCATGTACGATGAATCGCCCAGTGAAGCCGATTCATCGTCAACAAATGAAAGTTATTATGAAGTACGTAATCGTTGGCATAGTGCCGAAGACATATATAAGGTGAGGAGTGTGCATGTTTGTTTTTGTTTAGTCGGCCTTAAGCCATTATAGTTCTAAAACTTGTTTCGCTTGTATAACCTCTAGCTTCAGAATACCGCTGAGTTATATGTGGAAACGAAGAGTAACACGCAAAAACCGCAGCAATCTACAGCAGCGGCTTCGCTCTTAAATCGTAAGCCTGCAGAGAAAGATATTAGTAAAGTAGTAGCCAGCTTGGCGATCGCAGGTGCGGAAGACGAGAGAAGGATTATGAAAAAGGTAAGCATATTCGTTGCAATAACGCTTTGTATTAGAACTGATAAGAACACCTTTTCCGTTAAGACATATTCTCTTAAGGATAGACGTGGAGATTTGCCACGATTGGCAAAGATACGTCCCTTGCGAGAACCACCGATTATAACTACAACTGCTGCCACGCCCCAAGATTCGCCGAACACAACTCAAGGATCAGGCAAGAGTTTCCGTGATTGGACCTCAACATCTGAAGAAGACATGAATAGCGAGGTATGCGCTTTTAACCGAGAAAAAGAAAAATTCAAATATAATCACAAGTTGCTTTATGTATCGCAGAATCCTTGTTCGCCTTCCCTACTACGACCTCCGACTATTTTCAGCAGTCAGCGTTCTTTAGATGAAGGTATACCTTCTATCGACCTGATACCGCCTTCTCCCGTTCTTTCACACAAATCGTTAAATATACTCAGTGTTAGTAAACTAGAAAGCAATACTCATGCTATTAGCAATAGCACCCAAATAGTAACCACTTCCACATCCAGTTGTTCATCACAAACTTCGGGTCCCTTAGATGTTAGCAGTAAAGCGCATGTTCTTAGTACTGATGATTATTCAAAAATACCTACAACTGCTATATTAGTGCCGACAATATCATCTCCTACATCTAACTTACAATTACCCACCATTTCAAGCCCTAGGGCTGGTGAACTAAGTTTGGAAGTAGCAAACATAACTACATCTGTCGGTTCGGCAGTCAAAACCGGCGAAACTTTGCAACGTTTACCTAGCTTAAAACGTTTTCGCCGTTCTAGTTCAAAAAAGCGTAGGCCGTCAGCTATCACTCTTGAAGACGAAGAATATCGTCTGAACAACGGCAAAGATAATTCTTGTTTACTGGGGCCAGAGTGTTCTTCGCCACGAACTGAAAGTTTTCTCAAGCCTTCCGCCGTCAGCTCCGGTGCACTGGTTAAAAGCAAAGAAGCTAATCGGCTTAGTCCACAAAATTCTGTGCGCCGCCTGTCCAGTTCTCTAAGTGTTGGCGGCGTTTCCGCGAGTCGGAGGGCTTCTGCTTGCGTTTTTAATTCTCAACTTTATCAGAATCTTAATCAACCGTTCAAATTGTCATCGTCTGGCAGGCGACGTATGTCATCTGTTGAATTAGCTTTCAGTAAGACCTCCCACCTGAACTTGCATAATATAGAAGCAAACCGTAAATCGTTGTCTTATACAAACTCTAAAATGGATTTGGACAAATGGCGCAAACCGTACACCAATAGCAATGAGACTGATATGTTACAGCAATACATGCAAGAACGAGAGAGAAGAAAAAATAGCCTGTACGGGAAACGGCCTGGAACAAATTGTCTTAAACAATTTGATACGAAAGATCAACAAGAAGAGCAAACACAGCGACATGAACAGCAACATCAATATTTTAACATTTTTTCGACATCAAATCATATTTCAAAATTAAAATTGGTTATCGAAAGACTAGTACCAAAAGATTTTACTGAGGAGAGGAGAACGTACTCGCTCTACATATTCCCTGAGAATAACAAGTAGGTCAAAAAGGAAGTCTTTCGCATTTTACTGCTTTTAAATATTTGCATTTTGTAGATTCCGTCAGATATGTTCTTGGTTTGTAAGTCAGAAGTGGTTCGATAATGTGGTCCTATTGTTCATTGCTCTGAATTGTATAACATTGGCCATGGAACGACCAAATATCCCTCCATACAGCACGGAAAGATTATTTCTGTCAACAGCAAACTATGTGTTCACAGTTGTCTTTAGCGTTGAAATGTTTGTAAAGGTAAGTGAAGAAATCGTGTTTCGGTTGTAACTTCGATTGGAGAACTTTACCGAACCACCACAGGTGGTAGCCACAGGCATGTTTTATGGACCGGATGCATACTTTACGTCCGGTTGGAATATAATGGATGGATCTTTGGTTACAATATCTATAATCGATTTGCTTATGTCCCTAATCAGCGAATCTAGTCCGAGGATATTTGGGATTTTAAGGGTACGTATCGTCAACTAGCGCACTGTACTTAAGAAATCTCCTGTTCGTTTATTATTTTCAATTTCTTCTCCGGTAGGTGTTTCGACTACTTCGTTCCCTACGGCCCTTGCGTGTGATCAACCGAGCCCCGGGTTTGAAATTAGTCGTTCAAACACTCTTATCGTCCCTACGTCCAATCGGCAATATCGTTCTCATCTGTTGTACATTTTTCATTATATTCGGTATACTGGGTGTTCAACTGTTCAAGGGAACCTTTTTTTACTGCGAGGGTGAAAACATTAAACACGTACACAATAAGACTGACTGCCTTAGTATACCAGGCAATGCTTGGGTCAACCGTAAATACAATTTCGATGACCTAGGAAAGGCTTTAATGTCTCTGTTTGTGTTAAGTTCACGTGATGGTTGGGTCAATATTATGTATACAGGTCTGGACGCGGTCGGCGTAGATCAACAACCCATTGTTAACTACAACGAATGGCGTTTATTATATTTTATTGCCTTCATTTTATTGGTCGGTTTTTTTGTACTCAACATGTTTGTGGGGGTAGTGGTGGAGAACTTTCATCGTTGCCGAGAAGAGCAAGAAAAAGAGGAAAAGATACGTCGTGCTGCCAAGCGCGCTTTGCAAATGGAGAAAAAACGACGTCGCATGCACGAACCGCCATATTACATAAACTATTCACCTTCTCGCATGTTCGTTCATAACGTTGTTACTTCCAAATACTTTGATTTGGCAATAGCCGCTGTAATCGGTCTGAATGTGGTCACCATGGCTATGGAATACTATATGATGCCAGTGCCTCTGCAATATGCTTTAAAGATTTTTAATTATTTCTTTACGGCCGTTTTTATTTTGGAAGCTAACATGAAACTCGTTGCCTTGGGTTGGCGTTTATACTTAAAAGACAAATGGAATCAACTAGATGTTGGTATAGTTATGCTGTCAATCATTGGTATCGTTCTGGAAGAGCTGGAAACTAATATCATACCCATTAATCCGACAATAATACGTGTAATGCGAGTGTTGCGTATAGCTCGCGTGCTGAAGCTGTTGAAAATGGCGAAGGGCATAAGAGCTCTTTTGGACACTGTGATGCAGGCTTTGCCGCAGGTCGGTAACCTCGGTTTGCTCTTCTTCCTGTTGTTTTTCATCTTCGCCGCCTTGGGCGTTGAGCTGTTCGGCAGGCTGGAATGTTCGGATGAGATTCCTTGCCAAGGCCTTGGCGAACACGCACATTTCGCCAATTTCGGCATGGCTTTCCTCACATTGTTTCGCGTAGCGACTGGCGATAATTGGAACGGTATCATGAAGGATACATTGAGAGATAACTGTGATGACGCAGCCGATTGCGTACGCAATTGCTGCGTTAGCTCAGTTATAGCGCCAATTTTCTTTGTGATATTTGTATTAATGGCCCAATTTGTGCTTGTAAACGTCGTCGTGGCGGTACTGATGAAACACCTCGAGGAGAGCCACAAACAGATGGAAGACGAAATGGATATGGAAGTTGAATTAGAGCGCGAACTAGTTAGAGAACAGGAATTTGAGCAAGAACAGAAGATGTGTGAACAATTACAACAACAAACACGAACGCCAACAGCAACCACTCAACGCCATTTGGGCAAAGTTAAATCATTACCTATGAATTTCACGTACAGCACACCGTCTTTGGATAAGAAATTTCCCAGTTTTGTGAATCCATTGGCCGTGACTGGACGTCGACAGACTGTACAATACTTCAATCAACAAAATGGTTTAGGTTTGGCAGAGATGGGTAACGCTTTTAAGGCCACGCCTTCACCCAAACCAATAATGGAAACAATCACAACAGCTATAACCACAGATAATGGATTTGATACAAGATTACAAATACCATCGATCGCAAGACGAGGGCGACGTAGTTCAACCGCTTTCAGAAAACGAGGCCTGCTCTCCAAAGAAAGGTCCTTAGATGAACAAGCTATACGCCGACGCAATTTGGAGACGAAACGCATGAGTTCAGATTCATTACCCTGGGGTACTGAAGGCGCTGATTTTCGAAGAGGTACCATTTTTGAGAGTCTCGAATCGGACGGTAGCCCGCCATCTAGCTTTGATGTGCACAGTATAAGAAGCGAAATGATGCCGCGCAACCTTTCCGACGAAACGAGTATAATTAGTGCTATTGTCAGCGAAAAATCTACAACCGCGATAGCGAGTAGCGGTACAACATCGAGTGGCATAGTGATACGAAGACCGTATGGACGTTCCTTGTCTACAGATCCGACTTATTTGGAAGCGGGGCGCAATAATTTGCTTGCAGTCCCACGAAATATGCCACCGCGTAGTCGCAGCGGCAGTACCAAGCAGTTGTTCAAACAACAAGCTTTAGATGAAGATCCTGATATGGATGAAAGTGCCCTGTTACTACCTATTGTTATTGAAAACGTTGCGCCCACTTTAGCTAACAACTATAACAGGCAAAATGGTCACAAGCCAGACGATGAGAATATAAAAATTTCGGAAGGTCTCAGTAAGTCGGATTCGGCAGAAATTTTGCGAATTATATCCGAACGTAGATTTATGGATCAACGTGATAATAGCGGCAATGAAGACTCAGATTATAATGAACTTTTACTTCATAAATCACCGCAGTCTTCAATGGATTGTTAAGTATATTACGAGTATTTCGGAATTTCCGTATATGACTTTCACAAACAATACACAATGACAAATTTTCGAAAAAGAAAAAAAAAAAAATGGAGCACTTTGTATATATAGAGTAAAATACAATAACACTGTGATTAATTGTTAAAACAAAATACACACATACAATTGTATTTTTTAGGAAATCTTATTGAATGAACATATTTTAGGCTATCTTACGTGAGAAGAATAGAAACTCGAATTTTGAGAAATTAATTTCCTATGATGAAGTCTAAAAAAATGACAGTTCGCCAAGGGAACCGAGATCGTATTAGTACGAAACTATCAAAAAAAATCCAGGCGTCTATCTGTAAACGATACCATTCACTAATCTTTCATTACAGGTCTACCATTTATAGGACTACCAACTCATTTTTTTAACTGACATTATTTCTTCGAAGGGGGAAAACGAGAAAATGTGGTTAAGGCGGACAATATAATATCCGACCCTTCTAACCTCATTTAAAGCTTTACCACTCTACCTGTAGGCACGGCAAGCAATATAAGAATTTCTAGATTCTTAACTTCATAGACAACAAAAGCAAAAACCATATATAACTTTTATATATTAAATAAATTTAAAAGGAAAATATCTCATCAACATATGTAGGAATTAATTGAAGCTATATTATTTAGTTAAATCAAAACAAATAAAAACATAATTAAAAGGAAAATCCAAAAAAAGAAGGAAAGTAAACCAGAATTAGCGCTGACTAATAAGAATCTGGTTCCCGTTTATATATACTTTAGGCATTAATTGAACTTTAGATTTTATCTGCAGAAAACCTGAGCATTTATATTGAAAGTTATTTAGTCAAAAAAAATTATAATTAACAGAGAAAAACATAGGACATAGACGTAAAAAGGACATTTTGCATAATCGACGCATAAAACCAAGAAAAAACTTTCTAATATCGTTAAAGTATAAAAATCGTTAGCCGTAAATTATAGATAACGTTGGTGTAGAGGATTTATTAGGTTAAATGTGTATTTAATAAGGTATGTTTTAAAAAGTCAGGTCTTGATTTTTAATCAAGTTTCAAATCAATGCGTATGTGTTCGCACAAAAGAGTGCCCAAACCACTCCGACATTCATACATTCAGGCATAAATAATAAAAAAAAAAAAGTTAAACAAAATTTTATTCAGAACTACGAAAAACGGCGAACCTCACCTTCTCATAAGTTTGTCACGAACAATTTTATGAAAATTCTGCAAGCTTTATGTATTTTCTTCTCAATTCTTTGATTTAATTAAACTTAGTTCAGAATGGTTTTAGACAAATTAATACACTTTAGATTTAAAAATAGCCCACAACACGTTCAAGAAAAGAAATATTCATTAAAAAAAAAATGTTGTTTTTTACAAATAATTTATTTAACCCCTAAATGCATAGTCAAATAGATCTACATCATATGTTTAAAACCCCATATCTCCCGACGTAGCAACCCTTGCACAGTGTTTTATTTTTTAACCGTTGAATGCATATTATTACCAATTTTATTTTATTAAATTAATTTTAACATTAAATGAGAACGAAAAGTAGGGAATTGGCAACAATATGCATTTAAGGGTTAAATTTTCCTCATATATAATGTCTACGTCATTTTCACAAGAACGTCTCGTAACGCTTTCTATAATATTCTCCAAAACCTTTTCGAAACATTTTTTTAAAAATCTTTTTAAGAACTATTTTGCACATATTTTATACCCTACCTTTTAAAAGCCTCTATCCAAGAACTGAAGCTTTTCCACTTAACAAAAATTTATGAATTTATTTGGAAGCATAAATGCTTTAGGAAACTTCATATTAGTAAAAGAAAAAGTATGCTTCTGAAGTATTATCTTAGAACCATCAACGAATTGTATATTCGAAAAAGATAGTATTAGATAAACTGAAAAAAACAATAATAAATAATACGCTACCTTCAATTCTGGGATTCATTAAATAAATACTGTTTCTATATTTAAAAGCTTATATTGAATTTTGTTCCCTTTTTTGTTTAAATGCATGACTTTCAAATGTTTTGAAATTAATGAAAAAAAAATTATAAAATAAAGTAAATCCAGAAAAATGACAAAAATTTTTACATTCAACTACTGAGATTTAATAAAGTTATTGTATTACTTTATTAAATAAATATAAGGAAGGTATGAAGAATGTAATTCGGATTAGGTAACACTGTCAATTCTCCAAAATGAAAAATGTATTACAATAATATTTTTAAAAAAGCAATAATAATAATAATAATAACAACAATAATAAAAGTCTTGCATCTACAATCAACATTCATTTCTTTTTCCCAAAAAAATTCCCAAGTTTGCAATGTACAGCAAATGTCTCAACAAATCCATTTCATCATTCAAGAACACTTCAAAAACTACTTTTCCTCACTTTCCACAAACGGACTGTATGCACGGATGTGCGCATGGACGCCTTCCCCGTTTTTCAGCCACTCTCTTCATTGCAACTAATCAACACTTAGTATTATCTGAGTCAACTAACTGCAGACATATTCCAACATTTCCTTCAAAACGACCAGTAGCAAAGTCTTGAGGACTTTTTGTGTACCTATTATCAATAACAATAGTAATGCTGTTAAGACTGTTAAATAACACCGTTTTCTATGTTCGCTCTTTCATTCTCATCATTTGTATGGGCAAATGCTATGTTCATAGTTTCTTGATAGGACGTCCGATTCTTTCAAACGTTCCCAAAGCAAAAGCACATGACATTTTGTGTTTTTAAGTGAAATCAAAAAAGACTTCCCACAATATTCTACAGTACAATATATATTCTAAAATATAGTGCAATACAGTTACTCATCTATGACGTGAAAAATTACACAAATATCTTTGTCCATACAAATAATAAGAATCAAAGAGCAAGTATAGAAATGGCTCCTAATTAACAGCGTTACCACTATTATTGTTAACAGATATACAAAAAGTCCCCAAGAGTGTTTTAATATAAATTTTGGTGCCTCCGGTATTATACTACTGAGAAGTCTACAGAAATGGCGTTGAAAAGGGTAAGCGGCAACAATAATTTCTTGCTTTTGTTAGCGGCATTGCACAAAAAGATTGAAGCCTATTAGATGCAAGACTTCAATCATTGCCTAACTAATAATATCTCTACACACTTTGTATATAGGAAATAAAAAATTTCTTCTGTGCCTTCTTCTTCTTTTTACAATCGAATTAAAAAAAGTAAAAATTTATTTTACATTCGCTTAAGGACGAATATTAACTACTCATCACATGTTTCATAAAAATCGCTCGACTTAACAAACGGGTCTTGTATAAAATATTCATATGGACCTAACGTATATTATGCGTGTTGATTTTTTTAAACTGCTTGAGCTCAGGCAAATTTGTAACGTTTGACCATATTGTCAAAGTGTGAAAATCACTTGTACCTTAAATCCGAATTTTTTGCTATCATTTTCTCGTAACCTTATTTGTTATATAATGTATTGTCTGTTCATGAACAAATAACCTATTTTTGTAGACTAGTTTTGTTTGTAAAGTCTGGTCGTGCTTGATGAAAGTCTATATTTAGTTAAATCAACGCTCAAAGAAATGATTGCGTGGTGGGTAAAATAAATATTATTGAAAAAATAAAAAAATGAAAACCGATAAAAAAAAAACACTTTCTAAAAGAAGACAACTGTGAGAATGAAAAAGAAACAAAAAATGCACTCTCTCTCAAGCATACAGGAAATCTTAAAAATCATTCATTATTGTTTCCTTTCGTTCTATAATAACTAAAACTTAAATTGAACATTAAAAATGAAAGAAAATCGATGAAGAAGAATAAAATTTAACATTGTTTGGATAAACTAACATATTTTCGCATTTACTTAAAGCAAATACAATTCAATTAGTTTAGTGATATGAAAATATTTTACTCACTCTAATAATAAAAAATTGTTCATTTAACGAAGAAAAAAGAAAAACAACTAAATAATTAAAAATAAATAATTCAATAAGGAAGCGAAAGAAAGGAAGAGGATTAAGAGGAGGAGAAAAGCGTTATATTCGTACGTTTTTATCCTTCCTTTCGCATTAAAACTCTGCAATATGTATAATAAAATATTGAAAACTAAAAAGTAAAGTAAATCGATCTACAAAGAACGTACAAGTTGATTAATATGTATAAAAAACCAATCAGAGCAATAATCTACAGAATTTTTGAATTGATTTAACTGAATAAAATCAACAAACATTTGTCATACGACACATATATATATATACACTGGGCATACATCCTCATGTATATTTATTTATATATATCACATCACTCAATAAACCTATGACAACTCTGTTGACAGACCCGTATGATTTGTGCATATTACCAATCGTTAAATGGTAAATATCAAAATATTATAACACTTCGACCATTAGTTTGCGAGTTACTGGTTGCCGGTTGCTTTCCGCTTGGCTAATTGTCGATTTGATTCTGCTGTGTTGTCATAAATTCATGTTTCATTCATTGTCATCTATTTTTTAAACATTGTCAAACCACTCCCCGAGTGATCAATACGTTGCCAAAGTGATCGAAGACGGCGCCCATTTCGAGCAGAGCTTGCTCATAGACAAATTTTTATGCAAAACAGTAAATACACTGCTTTCTGATATCTTTAAGGCATCAGCTATCTCACACAATTTCACTTTTCTACCTTCAGTATTATCAGTGTCCGTACGATTGTGTTTAAAGTTAGCAATTTTTTTTTAATTAAGACATGAAGTTCAGATTTTCATTCAGAACTTACATCACTAAATAAACTGTAACTTGCAAACTAATTGATGGAATTCCATGAAATTTTGATACGTATCGTATGAAGAATGGTACTACTCAGAAAACATATGGAACTGTCGACAGTAACATATCATATATGTGCCAGACAGGAGATTTATTGAGTGATGTATTATATATGTACTTGAACTGTTGAATTGTTGTTAATATGTGAATCTAAGTATAATTTAGAGAGAAGAAAAGTATTTCCCATGTAAAAAAGTTATAGTTATTAGAAAATGAAATTTAAAAAAAAAAAATAGAAAACAAAAACAAAATAAAGAGAGAGAATTTTAATTATGCTGCGATTAATTGGGTGGAAGAGATTTAATTTTCATTAACCGGGTGTGTGCTCTCCTTCAGCTTTTACTACAATTCTTCTTCTTCTATAAGCGAAATAACGAACAAAAGTAACGTGCATAATATGCATAAAAATTTTTTTTTTCTTAAACTTTATTATCTATTCATTCTCGCTTACTTAAGTTACAATTTAATGTTTCGACTTTTTCGCAACTTATTATTACTGTCGTATGTACTGTCGCCAAATGTACAAAACTTAACAAAGTGCAAAATTTTTAATAATTTTTTTTGAGAGCTTTTTATTATTATTATTATTAATTTCGCCAGAGAAATAAATTCTAAGACTAAACTCTTAAAAGCACTAGCATCTAAGGCTATCGGCTTTTTATTAAAAACTCTACCGAACTTGAGATTCGAACCCACGACCATTGACTTGCTAGTCGACATTCCTCGCCTCCGGCTACTCAGGCGGATGAGAGCTATTTAATACAGCAAACGGCGACTATTTGAATTATGCGGAAATATGTGAATTGTACACATATTCTTAGGCGACATAAATAACATGCATGAAAAACTGTCTGCCGTCTATCTATTGTTATGGTATTACGCACAGTTACTGAGCCTGGCTCAAACACTGTCCGACACTTACAAAAAGGAGCTATTCATTGTTAATGAATGTTTTTAGCATCAATGCAAAAAAATTAAGACATTTGAAGTTTATTAACCCATGCTACAGAGTATTTAATAACAGAGCTCGCACTCGTTGTTTTTACCACTTAAAAATATATTAATAAAATAATTAAGCACATTATAGCCGAGAAAAGCCGATCATTAAATATCCTACACTGTATTGTCTAACACAGCTCTTATTTTTTTTATAGAACACAAAAATTATATCTTATGTCTATATAAAAGCATATTTTCCAAGTGCGCATTTATGACGAAGGGAGCCCAAAACGCAACCTAATGTAGTGCAAGTTTTACCCTTACATAGATCAGAATCCAATAGATGATCCAAATTTTGTAGAAATCATTTTATATTTTGTATGGATCAATTTTCGTCGCCATACAATAAAACTTAGACTTTGCTGCCGTACAAAGGGTCAATTATCGCGAAAACCCTTATTAGACTAGAACTCCAGTTTTCGTTATATGGGAGGTGGTTCAAAAACAGCCCCAGCCGGTCCAAAGTTTTCATACCAATTTAGAATATCGAAATACTGCTATTTAGCCAGTTTTGCCGGGAAATTTCGAAAATTACAATTTTCAATACAATTTACAAGAGTGGTTGCAAATGTGGACCGATCCGAAACATTTTCAATAGCATTCGTCACGTCGAACACGTCACCGCACCAAATTTCAAGAATTGCGACCTGTAGCTTGAACACAAATTTGCCTAGAGAGACATCAGACAACCAGACAGGCTTACATCAATTCAAATTACGATTCTGAATCGATCGGTATAATCAAAAGCCGGTTCATTTTATGCCCTTCTGCGTGTTACATACGTCCGCACTAACTTATTTTACGCTGTACCACAGATTGTGTAAGGTATGACGATGAGAAACTGGTGTTAAACAAGCTATTGCTGGTTTTGGTTGGACGGTTGCTTTTTGTTTTGTATAAGCAATGCATACAAAAATTGGTTTCATATAGAAAATTTCCAGTGGAACTTATTAAAGCAACGGAATCGAGTTACGACTGATTTGTTTATCTAATCTCTAGTTTTCCTTTTTTATTTTCTTTTTTGTACATACACATTTACGCATACGTATACCATGAAGCATACGTGTTCGGGAATGGAGGATTTTATTTATGTATGGCGTTAGCCAGGTTTTCTTAACGTAGGAATAATAGCTGCCAGGAACGCTCTGTGATATCTGTCAAATCACGTGAAAGCTGGGAGTTAATCACGTATCTGAAAATTAGCCTACGTTTACGTTTTTCGGCTGGTTTGGTATCGCGTATGTGGTAGCACTCAGCATTGTTTGATGACTGTCGGTTTTTTGGCCGTTTTGAGTCAGCTAAGCACAACAGCTGTTAAATACACTCTCTCATACTCTTACTTATAACCCATTAAATTCTAAAAGCAGTTGGTTAGTCTTTCCGATCTTGCGCTAAATTATAGGTGAAAGTATCATCTCCTTAGAGTAAGTGGGTAATAAAATTATGTAAAATATCTGTTCTTTGATATTCGTATTTTCCTCTACACTAAAGTGATACCGTTTCTGTCCCGTACAAATCTATGGTAATCTAGGTTTATTTATAAAAATAAATTAATAAAAAAAGAAAAAAGAACTTGTTATATGAGAACTATGCAACATACTTTGTACGTATATTCCTTTTGTTATATTTTATGTCCCGAAACATATGTCGGCTTATAACAACATATTTACGCTTGTATAAATCTTTTCCATGTTAAAATTCCCTTTATAAACATGTTGCAAACCTTTGAGCAACATGCCTACTACTAGGTGGACATCATATACAGCTAAGGATTTGTTTTGCTTCTGTATATGTAATCATTTAGCTCAACGCTCACTTTTTTATTAATAAGTTACTGCCAGCTATTGTTATTATTTAAGGATTAACGGTCACAAATTTATTTCGTTCCCATATATATGACGATATATTACAACTATAAGTAGCATACATATTATGCAAGGGCACATATTCATACAAACACATACCTAATGATCTTGCATTCTCTTTATTTATATTTGTTAGCATTCTCATGCATCCTATATGCGAAATCATACACTTGTATACTAACAATGAAGTCAGCGTGCAAAGGCTTGCACATTAAAATTGTGGTGGTTTTCGTTACATACATAGGAGTATACCTAACTGCCTTCTATGTTATACCTATTGTGTCATACACGAAATCATAGACTGAAACGGTTGCTTGTGGACACATATTCTAATATATTTTATTATTTCATAGGTAGGCATATACATAATTAACTATTTGTTCTATATTTATTTTCGCCTCTCGCAAGCCAGATCACAGACTTAACACGCTCACTTCTTTATTAATAAGTTACGGCTAATCTATTGAACTATTTTCATTAATTAGAATTTAACGGTTACATATTTTAATATTTATTTTGTTACAGACCCATAGTTTCAATATATATGCATGTTGATATATTTCATTGTAAGTGGTACATATCATGCATAAGCATGCCTAACAACCTTAGCTTTAGATGGTTTACACTTATTGTTGTCACACGTAAAACCATATACCTAAACGTTTACTTGTTTATTAACAGTTGCGTCAATATGCTAAGGATTGAAGATTAAGTTTTTTGGTATAGGCATATACATAATGATCTATATGTTTTGCTACCCACTTTTATTTCTGAAGTACTACTTGCTAAGGCTAGCACATTGAATTGTTCTTGCTGTGTAAGGATTAACGTCTCTACATTATGAAATAGTTTCCATACATGTATGACCACATGTTTTAGTTGCAAGCGATAAACATATACTAACCCATACATAGGGTAGCATTAATAAAAGACGTAAGAGCATTATTATAACATGTACATAAGTAAACATTGATATTGTAGCACACACGTAGAATGCGTGCCAGCCTGTAACTGACAAGGAAAAAAATATTTTTATTTTTTTTGGCTTACGGATAGGGGATGGCAGGTTCAACTTAGTCGTCATCCCTGAGTAACAGATGGGACTACTAGACTTTACGGATAAAGGATGACGGGCTCAGCTTAGTCGCCATCCCTGAATAACAGATAGGACTACCAGACTTTACAACGAATGAAACCATTCTCTTCGATGACGTTTCGAACGGTCAGGGACAATAAAAGCAAATAGAATGTAAGTAGGAACGGGTCGAGGGAACAGTCGGGTCACGGATCACCGCGCTGGTGTTCCTTTCCCATCTACACAAATCTCTAATCGCTTACGGTGTACCCTAGTTGTAAATACAATATATATTCAAACGCCTCGTAAACAATAAAAATATACCTTCAACGAAAATAGGAAGGTCCAAGAGTTTTTTTAAATAAATTTTCTTGGAAAGGGACTTCCTGGGTAGCCCTGAGCATATCTCGCATAAGAAGACTCGTTACAACAATGTGTATAAAAATGTGTATATACCGTTGCGTGTACATTCTTGTAGAAGCAACTATTGTCACGCGAGCCACTTGGCCCTTGTTTTGCAATTGCTGGGGTCTGGAGGCTATCAATGGCCGAGAGATGTTGTATGAGAAATGATATAAAAAATTAAAGAAATATCTTGCGCGGAGAAGGTTCGACTTCAGGATTTGGCTTCTGCAGCTCCCGCAATTTATTTTGATAACGCAGTCGACGTTTCGATAGAGGTCTCCCAATTGAAGCAAATAAGTGGGGAAAAGTGGAAAGACCCGCCATATCTTCTGCCCTGCCAATTGATTTGTATTGAAATAAATAATATAACGAATAAATCCTCTTTAAGACGTTTTGTGAAAATCAAAAAGTTGACTTTTATTTGTGTAACACACATTCTTTATAGGTAAATTCATATGATAATATATAAATATATAAAATAAAAATATATAAGATTCAAAATTTTCCCAAGAAATAAAACTTGGGTTAACTAAATCCGAGTCTTCTTCACTCTCGAATTCACATTGCCGGATTAAGTCGTTGTTTTCCTTGGCTAAGTTCATCTTATTGGACCGACTTAAGCTCATGTTGAGTTTCTCTTAGCAATTGCACTATTCCCTGATGATTTTGCGCTTTTTCTTTTTGTATTGTTGGCCAGACATAATATGCTTCTTAAGCAAATCTTAGATGTTAGATCCCAGAGCTTTCTTAAACCTCTTTGTCCCTTCATCATAGGATGAATACCTGACAAGGGATAATTATTTTTATTAATAACTATCAAATTACTAATAATAAAAATAAAAATTAATATATGCGTAATTACGTTCGCTTCTTAATAGAGATGTTATCCTGGGCCTCGCAATCTATCGCATTAGGGCATTATATTATAAACATACATTACAATTGTACCCACAGCTGTCGCGCTTGCTGCAGCTCGCCTATTTCCTCTTCGTCCGCAGTGTCATCTGTTTGCTTGGCCTCCTCCGGTATTTTGCAGGGACAACCTATTGGCATTCAATTTTCTTTTTGTTTTGTATTTGCAGCCCGCCCAAGCCTGAAAAAAGGAGACAAAACTAAAGTATATGCAAATAAAATGTTATCATAATTTTTTTTTACTTACAATTCATTGAAATTTTCGGTAGTTCCATGCCGAGCGAGTTTTATATGTGAGTAATTTGTGGCTACGACTCGGAAAGCAATGTTACTCAATATTTGCAAAACATTTTTTTATTTATTTATTTATTTTTTTTTTTTTTTGTTGTTAAAAATATTATCCCATTTCCCTTTATTGAAAACTTTATATATTTTTGCTTTTATTTATGTTTGCATGATTTTGTTGTTGATTTTGTACCATGTTGTTGTTGTATATATTATTCCTGTATTCAGTGTAATGTTTCCACTTCTTAAACTTTCAAACGTTGCCCTCAAAGGAGCATATTTTTCTCGTTAGCACTTGATTTACTAAACTCTTCTTATCAACATAAGACTTAAGGCTTCTCACACATGTTTTGCGTCTATTTTTTGTCACGCCCACGTCTCTCAAATATCACATGAAACTTATTAGATGATCTTTAGCCGTTTCATCTTTCTTTGGAGATTCGTGCTTTGCTATGCTCTATCATATTGAGAACACGAGTTTTTAGAATATTTGAGAGCCATGTTATGAAAGCCATGATAAAGTTTAAACGCCTCATATAAAAATGGGGCCACATCTTGGTAGTTGAAAACTCACAAGCAACAATAATTTAATGTAAAAACTTATGATGCAGTGTGAATAACTAGATCGTGCAGGTATCTCTGACCAAATTTTGAACTTCTTGGATTTTTTTTTCAGGTGCTATAAGTGAGTTTTAAGCACTTTTTGAAGAGGTGTTAAGAGCTTTTTGCTATCGAATTTGCGTACTACTGTCGTAGAAGATTTTTACCCACATTTTTTGATGCTTATAAGATGATTTTGTCTGTCTATTATTCCACACAAAAACTATTGCTTACTTGACCATTCACATTTTTAAACTTCAATAAATGACAAATTCTTTAAATGATACCAACAAGTGAGGGAAAACCAAAGGAAACAAGAAAGAAGTTGTATTCGCCTTAGTCCAGATTTTCCAAGAAGTAGTACTACGTTACAAAATAAACACCAAATTAGTGAATATTTTTCTATCAGAACTTTGTCAAAATGAATCATTCTAATGGCGCCACCTGATGAGATGTTCTGTCGCCAGTGCTTGGCAATCGGACGTACAGAGAGTGAGCTGTTCCGCTGTGGCAGTTTGGTATAATGGCTTTTTCATTGCCGACTGTATTTCGCCAGAAGGTAAAGATAAATCGACACAATTAGTTTCTACGGAACAAAGGGTACGAAAAGACCATTTCGAGGCGAGGATGTTTGTATAAGAGGCGATAAGCTGATATTTTATTCTATTTCCGTTAATTCCGTAAAACGAAGATTTTGATTGATTTTAGTGAATTCAAATATAGATTTGATGGCATCTTTAGTTAGCACAGATTTTGACTACTGAAGGGTAGCCATCATTCAAATCGTTAAAACTCCTATATCACGCATAGACTTTGTTATCGGATAAGTAGTTGCCATTATAAAATTATTTTAGCAATTAAGGTGCTTCAGTAAAAATTTTATCAACTTCAGATCGTTGGCTTCTTGCTCGATGGTCACTTTTGCATATACCTTTGATAACATGTTAATGAGAGTTTTCCCTTTTACCTAGACAACGGTACAATCAAAGCGTCATTAAACTACACTATTTTAAAAAAAGATCAGTGTAAGATCTCTTTCCAGGCTTTTACACAAGTGCCGCGAATATATATACATATATATTTAGAATTTCTAAAAATCTGAATAATCGTCTTAGCTATGTTTAAAATTTTATTGTTAAATTTGTACTTGCATTAGAGGTTTTTTTATTCCCTTTCATATCTTATCTAAAAGCTTTATTCAAAAGCTTCACAATATTGGGATTTTTGTAAGTCTTGATACACCTTATTTACCTTTTAGTGCTAAGGTTCGTTCCTACAAATAATTGATATGCGTCGATCCTTTCTTACTGGCTGTCCACGAAAAGTCGACACAGCGTTTGGGAGAATCTCGTGCGTAAAGTGGTAACGAGCAGTATTACTAAATAAATGAAAAAAATGTAAGATAATAATAAACAAGTAAGTAAAGTTATGTATGCCCAAACTCAAATTTTAAATACCCCGTAAACTAAAGAGCACGAAGGAAACTATCAGGGTAACTATGTAGCTGAAAGTTAACGAAAGCTAAACTTTTTCATATTTGATAATCTCCGTAAGTTTTTTAATTATTTGTGGAAATGTTATTAGATAGGATTGGGGTTACTTTTACACAAAATGTAAATGTTGATCTCAATATCGATTTGATGGATGGAGGTAGTTTTCACAAGTAAAATATATGTCTAATTTATGTTGGGCAGGTATTATCACCGTTATCAAGGGAATCAGAAAATTAGTATTCGCTCATTTTTAAGTGGCAGGTATAATTATAATATAATTCACCTCATTATATAGAGAGATCGACGTGGCAATAGAACGTTGGCATGAAAACTACTCGCAAGCAAGGTATGTGATTGCTCTGGTTGCGTACGGTAGTTTTGCTGTACATTACTTTCATCATTTTGCTGGCATTTTTCTTCATCAATACGTACTAAACGCATGACACTATCGGTGAGTAAACTCAAGCCAGCTATTATATTCCCACAGTACTATTAAAGATCCAAGAAATGAGAAGATTGTAGGCTTTATCGTATAAAATCATCAAATTTACTCTGGTACTGTCCACATGCGGCTTAATTACACCTTCTGATGACAAGTCCAAGACATGCACAAAAGGCATAATCTCATCAGCAAAGCCGGTATTTCGTATTTTGTCAATGATTTTTCGGTTTTCAGGATACCAATGTTTACGCTCAGTTTCTCGGAAACCATGTATTGCCTAACAAGGAAAAAATAATTTATTAATTCCTGTGAACATTAATTTCACGTACGTTATCCCAATGATCATATTCATAGCGCAGGCGTTTCATATAAGGTTCAACTTCACTAAGCAATTGTTGTTCTTCATCTTCGTCGACAAAATTTATGAATATACGCATATCTTGCAAGAAACATTGTTTTTCCTCATTCGGCCAATTTCCCTTAAATTCAAGGTATGAATCTTCTGGAATCAGAAAAATCAAGTTTTGGTATTAATCATCTAGAATCAGAAAAATCAAGTTTTAAGACTTTTCGAACAGTCAATCAAATTGCCTGACATAATAAGATTTTTAAGAAAACATGCAAAAATTGCTTTCGTACTTGGCTATTTCTTCTCAAGAGTTAAGTATTTAAATTGTTGTATGCATGCATTAAATACTCTAAAGCTTCAATTTTGCTATGAGAAGAAAGTCGCAATTCAAATACATCTCAAGTTTCATACGCTATCAATTTTTACATCAATTTCCCGACTGTGGAATTGTTCTTTGACATGTAACATATAATCCTATTAGCTTTAACAAGATATAGATGATAGGGAATAATTTATATATTAAGGAAGTTAATTTCCAAAACTTTTGTAATCATATATTAATTTTCGATTCGAAGGAATTAACATATTCCAATTTTCTTTATTTCTAATTGCAAGTAATTTCCTGTGAATATTAGTGAAAACAACAAAAATATTTTGACATCTCTCATGCTTTGCTTTTTGTTCGCTATTAAATCATATCGCCTAAGTGTTGAAATGTTAAATGTGATAAAGGTTTTCTTATGATTTATTTCAACTAAACAGAACTGAGAAAAATCTAAAACTTAAAAAAAAACTTAAAAAACTGCGTCTACCATAGCACGTATTCACTTGCAGAATATAGAACTTTATATGTTTCTGCTTTGCCAACAATTGAGAGTATGTGACGTAATAGTATATATCTATTAACAAAATTTTTGCCCCTATAAATAATGAGAATAAAAAAGCAAGCAGTCAAATGACCGGTAATTAATAATAATACTTCTACGACTGATAGCAAAAATATAAACAGTCCGTGAGATTCTGCTTGCCTGAATCTGGCACAAAATATTGGAATATCTTGTCATTTAGTTTTCTCTGATGAAACAAACTTTCCGCTGTTAATTTACAGATTACTGCTTGCCTGAATCTGGCACAAAATATTGGAATATCTTGTCATTTAGTTTTCTCTGATGAAACAAACTTTTCGCTGTTAATTATAGTTTGTGTTATGATATCTAGCTTCAATTTAAGAGCAGTTGTCACAGTTAAAAAAACATAAACACATATCCGCCTTATTGGCCGAGTAGGCAAGAGTCTCGACTAGCAACTCAATAGTCGTGGGTTCAAACCTCAAGTGCGGTAGAGTTTTTAATAAAAAAAAAAAAAGAAAAAAAAGCCGATAGCCCTAGATGCTAGTGCTTTAAGACTTTAGTCGTAGAATTTATTCTCTGGCTAAATTTATAATAATAATAATAATAATAAAAAAACATAAATGATGCAAGTTACGTACCTGACGTATGTTGTACTTTGGTAGCGAGTGTTCTACATTTTCTCTCATTAGCTATGAATTGTATTATTCGCTTCAGTGACGGTTGCTCTTGTATTAAATAAATACTTTTAGTGAATGCAGTTCTTAATTTTAAAAAGTTATTCATTTTGTAAGATTTCGAATAAATTGTATTGAAAAAAAAAACTACGCAGAAATCGAAACGAACACATGACAGCTGCGAACTTGAGTTATCGATAAATGGGAGAGAGAATATTTTGGTGTAAAACTAGGAATTTATATAAAATGGAACGTGAGATAATTAAATTAATAAATGGGAACATGGTGAATATATGAAAATATTTAAGCGAATTAACTGAATTCATATTCATTTTGGTAGACGTTACCCTAATAAATAAAAGTATTCCTTCCATTTGCAACATCTAAAATTTCATATTCATATTAGAAATTCTTTAAATTTAAAATTATTTCCAAAGCATAAAATATGAGCTTTTTTCCAACTCTAAACTAAGGAAACAAATCTTGATATGATAAACAGGTTTAACTATCAATATTTTATGATGAAAATTGTTCCATTATTGTAAATACACATAAATGTCAACTGCACAAATTTTGGACCCCGTCGATTTTTGGATGACGGCAGTCTAATTTCAAGTGCTTTACCTAAAAAATTATAATTTTTGAGCGAGTCACGGAAGTGAATAGAAAATGCCTTTAGATGGGGTCCCGCTCTTTGTAATGTTCAAGAACGTTATATCAAGCCTTGGCTTTACATTTAAGCGATTTTCTTTTTTTAACATTGTCCACATTTTTAACAGCATATGTTTCGTGTTCTTATTTGTTTTTTTTTTTTTTCGTTTTTTTCGTGGAAGAAAAACAAAAGTACAATTTCTTATTATTTGCCAAGAAGTCGAAAACTGTCGACGTAATATTTAATGTGATATTAGCACAATTGTTATTGCTCTTCCATAAAATGTACAAATTTAGTCGTAAATTACCCACTGCTTTATTTCAACGGTCTTCAATTTTACTGTATAATATTGACTATGGCTTCAGTTTCCTTTCGTGTGTAACGGCAAAAAGTTTCCAAACAGATGCGGCAGATGTTTTGCGGAAACGGAAATTTGTGCCGCCCGCCCCGCCTAAAATGGCCGAGGGATCGCTTCCTACAGAAGTTCGTGTGGTTGTTTGTGGTGGCGGCATAGTTGGTGCATCAGTGGCTTATCACTTGGCCTTGCTAGGCTGGGGTAAAGAAACTTTGCTAATTGAACAACACACTGTTGGGGGTGACAGTCCCTTATGTGCTAGCGGCTTTGTAGGGCGCTATGAACCTACATACTGTGAGTTAAAACTAACTGAATATTCATTGGATTTGATTAAGGAATTGACTGAAAAAAATTTGCCGACTGGCTGGAAACAAGTGGGAAGTTTAAATTTGGCTCGTCAATTCGATCGTATGACTTCCTATCAGCGTATGAAATCGATTGGCAAAGCTTGGGGCATATCTTGCGAAGTTTGGACGCCTGAAGAATGCCAAGCCAAATGCCCACTTATTGATATAAACGACATCAAGGGTGGCTTGTGGATTCCTGATGATGGTGTCTGCGATCCTCATCTAGTTTGCTTGTCACTAATTCAGGAAGCCAAACGCATGGGAGTGCGAGTGATAGAGCATTGTGCAGTCAAAAAAATTTTAACCGATTCGGGAAAAGTACAACAAATAGACACCACCTCAGGTAAATTGTCATGCGAGTTTTTTGTCAATTGTACGGGTTTTTGGGCCCGTGAAGTGGGTACATTGTCGACACCAGTAGTTAAAATACCTTTAAAGTCAGTTGAACATCATTTTTTGTACACCAAGCCCATCGAAGGCTTAAATCCTTTGACACCGTTTGTGCGCGATTTTGATGGCGGTGTCTACTTCCGGGAAAAAGATGGTGGAATAATGGCAGGCGGTTTTGAGCGTGAAGCCAAGGTAGCCTATGAAGACACTGCCGTGCCTTTATCTCAGAAAGAACGTGAATTGCCTCCGGACTGGGATCATTTTCATGAATTGCTAGATGAATTACTGAGGCGGGTGCCTGCTTTGCGTACAGCCAGCTTAGATCGGTTGTCGAACGCTTTGCAGGCCTTTTCCCCTGACTGTAAGTGGATTCTGGGTGAAGCTCCTGAGATAGAAAATTATTACGTATGTGCTGGCATGAAAACTATTGGTGTCGCTGCATCTGGAGGTATAGGCCGCACTTTAGCCGATCTAATAGTTAAAGGCAGTACCTATTTAGACTTGCATACTTTGGATGTCAACCGATTTTTGGGTCTTCATAATAACCGCAAATTTTTAAAAGATCGTTGCAAAGAAGTACCCGGTAAACATTATGATGTCTGTTACCCTTTCGACGAATACCAAACTGGGAGAAATTTGAGAATGTCTCCAATATATCCAGCTCTTAAGGAGGCAGGCGCTATATTCGGCCAAACAATGGGGTACGAGAGACCTAGTTATTTCGATCCTAATGATATAAAAGGTCGGACAGACTAATGAAGAATGTAAGAAAATTTTCCTAATTACTTTTTTGTTTCAGACGAATTTGGAATTCCACGCTTTCGTATGGCCGAGACCAGAACATTTCATAAACCAGCTTGGTTCGATCTTGTGGCCTCGGAGTATACAGCATGTCGCGAGCGTATAGGTCTAGCTGATTATAGTTCCTTCACTAAGTACGATTTATGGTCAAAAGAACGTGAGGTTGTTGATTTGCTACAATACCTGTGTTCCAATGATGTCGATGTGCCCATTGGTTCCATTATACACACAGGCATGCAAAATCCTTGGGGCGGTTATGAAAATGATTGCTCGTTAGCTCGTCTTAATGAAAATCAGTAAGCTTTGCACATTTATTTTTCTTTTCTAACTGTAATCATTCTGTCGTTACCTTTTCTAAGTTATATGATGATCGCTCCCACCACTCAGCAGACACGGTCTTTGGCATGGATACGTAAAAATATGCCCAGTCATTTGAAAGCATCTGTGAACGTTAGCGATGTTACTTCGATGTATACGGCCATTTGTATTATGGGTCCCTATAGTCGTGTGCTGCTATCTGAATTAACTGATACCGATTTGTCACCTAAGAATTTCCCCTTTTTTACTTATAAAGAATTGGACGTGGGTTTGGCAAATGGTATACGCACTCTAAATATAACGCACACTGGCGAATTGGGTTATGTTCTGTATATACCAAATGAATTTGCCTTACACGTTTATTCACGCATTGCTCAAGCTGGGCAAAAATATAATATCCAACATGCTGGTTATTATGCTACACGAGCGTTGAGAATAGAAAAGTTTTATGCGTTTTGGGGCCAAGATTTGGATACTTTTACTACTCCCTTGGAATGTGGACGAAGTTGGCGAGTTAAATTCAATGTAAGAAACATTTTATATTATGTTGTTTCTCTTTAGTATTTTCTTGTACATCTTCTGATTCTTTAGAAGCCCATAGAGTTTATCGGTCGGTCAGCTCTTTTAAAACAACGCGAAGAAGGTGTCAAACGTATGTATGTCCAATTACTTTTAAATGGTCATGATCACGAAGTCGACGTTTGGTGTTGGGGCAATGAGCCAATTTACCGTGACGGCAAACATTGCGGCATGACAACCACTACTGGTTACGGATATACATTTAAAAAACAAGTTTGCCTAGGCTTTGTGCGTAACGTGGATGAAGCGGGCAATAAATTGCCAGTAACCAATGATTTTGTTTTATCCGGCCACTACGAAGTCGAAGTCGCCGGTATACGCTTCGAAGCCAAAGTAAATTTACATTCGCCAAATTTGCCCACCAAATTTCCTGACAAGGAGCGTGAAGCTTATCACGCTACACGTGATAAGCCAGGCCAGGGCGATCTACTGTCTTATAAGTTCTAGTGTTTAGTCTATTGATTTTTGCACAATATTTACAATTATCCGTTTGTATATTATTTTTACTTTTTAAGTTCGACAACATATATATTATATATTAAAAGACAAGAAAAAAATCAATATAAAAATGTTCAGATATTTTATAATAGATTTATATTCATGTGTGTTTGTACCTGTACGTATGAATGTACGCGTTTACGCTTGTTTATAAGCTTCTTATGCTTTTTACTGTTAAATACAGTTAGTTGATTGTTAAATAAAATATATTGCTTTGTAACACACTTTTCAAACTGCTCCAAATCATAGGTGAATGCGGTCTTTCCAGGATTTTTAAATTCTATAGAAAATTTTTCTTATTGTATAGAAAATTTAACATATTAGCCTGCCATTGACATTTGCTAGGTTAAATGAAGCAAACAAGTGGCTGATCTAAAACTATTCTAGTTAAACTTCTTCATTAATTGAATATGAGCTGCGTGCAACAATGCTGTAAAATACCACCTCAGCCAAACTGCCTTTATAACAGACTGAATTAGCATAAGCATAAAATAGCCTATATTGGTTTTGTTGTTCATTTGCGGGAACGAAAACATCAACATTTTCAGCTGATTTTTTAATATGTTGTGCATAATCGCGGCTATATCTCCGTTTGATAGCCTCTTTTTGAAAACATTTTCAAGAGACAATATTGGAGTTTCGACGACATGATTGCAGTTCTACTGAAATTTCAATATATATACGTATATATAATATTAAATAATGAAAATTAATAAAATGCCGTAAATGACGAAAGTTCGTCAAGAGAAGTGCGTCAAGTCAATTCAATGTGCGGGCTCCTTTTACTTTAAAAACTTATAAAAGATTATACTTTTTCAAGATGGTCGAAGAAGGTTTATGGTGAGTAATAGGTAATCGGATCGGAGCTTTCAAAGATTCATGAAAGCTCCACTTAGAAACTGAATACATGATATACTTTCCAATCACTTATATGTTTACCTTCCATCATTTGTCATATAAATCGAATTCGAATTTGTGTCGTCAACGTTCTCATATATTTCCCAAAAATTTTAATAAGTTTCTCACACGCAATTCAATCAAAATACATAAAAATATTACTACTGAGTAATTGGATGAAAACAATAACTAAAGGCCACACTTTGACTTCTAGGTGGATCAAATTTAAAATTTAATTTATATTATGCGGACACATATCTGAAGCTTGGCACAAATAATAATAACAAAAAAAATTCGCTATCAAGTTGGCACTCTCATAATAATCAATGAAAGGAAGATAGGATGAAGAAGACTCAAGATTGATTTTATTTCGAATGTAACTTTCTGACTTACCTTCTTTTCAATACATTTTCTTTCACTCGTTTGCGTAATCATATAGGCTGTAATTAATTGCTCTGATGGTACTGGTACTACATCTTCTCATTTACGGTATCTGGAAACAATTGACTTGGAAAAGTTAAAAGATTTCGAGAAGAGACAAATTTTAATCATATCAAAGATTATCAAAAACTTTCGAATTTTTCCACTCAATCCGAAATTTAAGACAATTTCGTGTAATATATCAATATATAATAACCCTTATCGGCTGACTGAAAGGTCAACTATTACATGATTTTTTTCATTTTCATCTTAGGTAGTGGATACATCGGAGACTCCAACATAAAAAAAAACAATCATAAGTTCATTGAGTATTTCCTATTCATTCTTTCGTATCTATTAAGTTTGAAAGCAACCCAGACCAGGGCCAACTTAGGAATTTCAGCAAACGATCAATAATTTTACCCAGTCAAAGCTGAAACATGTATACATAAGTATTCATTCTTATATTAAATATACGTGTACATATGCATACTTACATACGTATGCAGTTATAAATATTTGAGGGTTATCAGCAAGGACATGCGCAACGCCATTAAATTAAAAAGATGAAGAGGACCGATGATTTGGCTTTGTCGCCTGCTTTTTTTCTTCCTGCTCGTTTCATATTTTGCTTTTTTTCATAAAGAACAGAGAAATAGTGTTCATCTGTACGTATGTACAGCAAAAATACGTACAGTTCAAGAATAACTGCAAATCAGAGAGTATTGAAATTGTGCAGTTGTGTAAGCGTATGCTTTCTGTGCAGATGGGAGGCCAGCAGCAGAAATGTTCTATTGCGGAAGCATAGCAAGCAAATGTCCTGTTTATAAACATAGAGAAGAAAATAAAGAAAACGCCAGGTATCGTAAAATTGCGAAGAACATTTTTCCGTTCCTCCCTGTTAGTATTTCTCTATCAATTGATGGATCTCTCTCTCTCTCTCTCTCTCTCTCTCTCTCTCTCTCGCTCTTTCTCTCTCTGTTTCTCTCTGTATGTTTTTGTGTGTGTGCATGTGTGTGTGTGTGTGCATGAGTGTGACTCTAACTGAATAGTATGTATCTAGCGTGTCCTAGATACATAACGTACATAAACACACATTGCACATAATACATAATCGAAGGTGGTTGAACTTGTGCCATCAACAGCAAAAGCAAAAACAAATACAAAAAAAAAGAAAAAAAACAGTGAAGATAGCATTGTTATACATATATTTTTGGCGCATTTTACCAAGAGATTTATAAAGCAAATTTTACTTATAATAAGTGTGTGTATGTATCCGTTATATCTTCCCAATCATTGCAACTTTGTAACTCGTTTATAATAGTAATTGTTTTTGTAGCCGCTTAACCTGAACCCATTTCCAGGCCGACCTTAATATATTTACACAATACATACATTATATATGTATGTATATTTTTCATATTTTACACATTTAGCTTTAGTGAACTCGTTAAATGAAGCAAGTTATATAGCGTTTAAAATTTTTTTAAACTGACAATACAGAATACTTTAAATTTGTGATATGTTTTTTAAGAAATGCCCACGAAATCACCAATTAAGAGCAATCTTCATATACGTACGCATATACGTATGAATAGAAGAATCAATTTTGTCATATATATATATATATATGAATAGAAGAATCAATTTTGTCATTCAGTTGAAAACTTGATAATAATTCAAAAATTTTACTTAAAATATTCAACTTAGACCAAAATAAGGAGACGGAATTCCTTCTTCTTAGCTTTGTCAGGTTGAATCGTAAATTCAACCAAATTTTTGAGTCCTAAAACTGTATATATACCTTAGCGTTAAATTTTATAATTTTTTTTCACTTATCTGTTATTATGCTTATCTAAAAAATTGAAGATGTTCTTCAACTTTTGTTACTATTTCCCCAATATGCCTTATCATAAAACATCAGAATATCAGATTGAATTACGATAACATCTGTATTACCTAATGGCGGGCGTTAAAAGATTGTCCTTAGAGGTTATCCTTACTGTAACAACTAAGATCAATGTACCGAGTCCAAGGGACATTATTTTTGTTCGTTGAGACCGTTAAAGCATAATAATAATATGACTTGGTTATATAAGAAAAAAATTTATTCAAAATATTGAACTTGTTCAAAAAGCAAAACAACAAGGCGACGCTTGAAGAAAGAAGGCTTAAAGCAGCAATTGAGATCAAAACACACACACACACACACAAACAAACACACGCATACGTGAACAATATAAATTAAATAATAAGTTATTAACATATTTTCTAGCATTGCGTATGGAAGATGTAAACTATTCTTTATTCAAGGTCTCCCATAACGGTAACTTTAATCAAGATATTGCGTTCGTGTGCTTGTACAGTTTTTGTACGTGTATGCATGAATGTATATATGTATATATACATTTATATATATGTGTGTGTTGGCGTTTGTGTATGAATATACGTATTTATCCGTAAAATATTAATTAAATCTGCAGGTGTTAGCTAGTATTGTAATGTTGACAGAAAAGATAGGTAGACGAAGAAAAGAGACCAAAATAATAACAGAATGATATAGAAGACGGGAGAAAGAAGGAAAGGCATAGTAGAAATAGGAGAAACAACCCCATTTGAATAATAAACAGTAAAAACGAATGTTACAACAACTGAATTTAAATGAATGGATGAAAATAAAAACGTGTGTACAATAATAAACACATACACGCATATGTATATGTATATATACATCGAATAGTAATTTAAAACGAATCCAAAGCTTCCTACTTCACGAAACTAATTTGACAACTTTATCCTTTTGTTTTACTTAATGATAAATGATTGCTTATGATATTTCTTTTTACGAAAAGAATCGTCAAAAGTTTTCAACAAATATCCATAAAGAACAGCAACAAAAGTGAGCGGAATTTTTGTCACTTTAAGTCACTATCATCAGACAATATCTAATGTATTGTTATTTGCGTACAACATGAAATAACTAATTTAGAAGTCTGTTAGCAAAAGATCTATAAAGAAGCTTATCAAGATGTTTGTTTCTTTAAAGGAATGCTTACAAATTAATATAAAAGAGTGTCCGCTATCGAAATATTTCACTGTATACAATATAAAAATTGCCAGTTATGTTCAGATACTAACGCTTCATCGTTCGCAAATATTTTTATCACGTAACAATAGAATTTTTCTGTAGTGTTTTTTCAATTAGATATGTATGTGTTTACGATGTGTTCTTAACATCAAATAAATAGCATCGAAACTACACTTGTCAGTAGTTCAGAACACACTAAGCTATATCTATATATGAATACATATAAATTTACGTATATGAATACACCCATATATGAACATCCATCCGTTTATGCTAATCATGGTACTAAAGAGAGACATATAGAGGGACAAGACGAGACGAAAACTGAAAATCATAATGATAGCAATAGCCAGAAAAAAAAATGCTTACTCTTTAGAGACGTTTTCATACCTATAGTTATTGAGTACTTACACTACATAATTTTTGTTTCTTTTTTGGCAAAATTCGTTTTAACATTAATAACATTTATTTACGAACATCGCTTATCCTTATTTGTGAATTGTATTTGTTTTTGTCTACATTTTCTTTTCTTTTCTCTTTTTTTCTTTTTTTTTCTTTTACCAATATTCGTTTTATTCCTCTTTATTGCGTATTGCTTGTGTAAATTCATTCTAGCAGTATTTTGTCTCGATCACACTTACACGTCCGCATATAAAATAATTATAATTTGCTCTTCACCGTCTCGACCTCATCAGAGCGAGAATGTGTATATATTCTCACACTCGTACGAATTCATTCGCTTTTCAAGTACATAAATAAGGATTTAAATATAAATAAAGTACAACACAAGCGTGTGCTTGGGTGTGTGTATGTGCATTTGTGTATTTTATGTGCATGTGTATGTTATAAACAATGAATGCGCTCTCTCTTTGCACTCACTGCTCTTGTCAGTTGTGCCAATAATGTGTTTCAGTTCTCTGTTCCTTGCCTATTTACGAGTTTTTTAATTACATTTCGATTACGTTTTGTTTATCACTCTCTAGGTATTGGTGTGATTATGGAGTACCCTTGTATGCGTATACTGCGCTTCACTCTCTCTCTCTCTCTCTCTCTCTCTCTTATAAATAAATATATAAATAAATAAAAAATAATTTATATTTACACATGTGTGTGTGTGGGCTAGTCTTATATGCAGGCGTGCGTGTTTAACAGTGTATATGTACGTGTAAATTGTATAGAGAAATAAATAATTGCTTCTCTATATCTTCTTGCCGGCTCAACTAACTGGTTTAACTAAACGGCCTGGAACGCGCTGCAAGTAAATTGCCTGACATTGCTAATACATTTTCATATGACACGTCATTTATTTATATATATGCGTTGACAAAGCAATAACAACTTAATGTAAGGACAAACTAGTCACACCAACAAGTTACCCAGTTAATGTCAAAAATGTTGTTAAGCGGGGGAGCGAAAAATTAACAACTTACACAATTTATCAAGGCTATATTGGCTCACTAATATAACAAAATAGCTAAGCGGCCAATATGAACTCCATTCTTTGCCTAATGTATGTTTATTTAATTAGTAATATTATCCTAGCTTAGTAACTTAGTAATATTATATATTCATTATATTGCATATATTATAATTTTACAGAACAGAACAGAAACAAAATAGCACTGCTAACTAAAGAAATAATATTTTCAAACTAGTTGATGATAATTATTTAGTTATGGTACGGTAATGAATAAGAACACCTCTGTATATATGCTTTTGAATGTATGTAGGTTCCTTCTTTTCCACTCTATACTATTGTCCAACTTTGCCATGACTGCCTGCAATAATTTCTTAGTTATGATGTTTTGTGACGTCATCACTTGCATAGAATTTTTAAAATAACCATCATATCTCACATTTGCCGATAATTGTAAGAACAGTGAAACAATTCAAGCGAAGTGAACACATTCCATATAAAGGTTGAAAATTTTTATTTTTAGGAAAGCTCCAATACCTCATAAATGGACTAATATTGTCGACGACGTAATGAAACTTGTGAATGTATGAATGAGAATATTGTATTGATGGCATTAGAAAGAGTTAAATTAATATTAGTATTATTATTATTAATTCAGCCAGAGAATAATTTAAGACTAAATTCTTAAAGCACTAACGCCAGCATTATTAAAAACTCTACAGCAATTGAGATTTGAACCCGCGACCATTGAGATTCGTTGCCTACTCGGCTACTCGACGGATAAGAGTTAAATTAAACATAAATATTTTTTTCAATTTTATTCTTCTTTTCACTGTTCATTATTCATTAAACTATACGTTTACTTATAGATCGAAATAACTCAACGAATTGAGTGCAATGCAAGTACTAGTGGTTACAAAGGAAATAATGCCACGTGTGAAGTGAAATCAGTCTTCATGTAAACGCATCATAATGCATTTTTTTAAATAATTTCCCGTATCGATGTTCAATAATCACTATACGTCATTCATTGAATACCTTTCTGGGTTGTGATTAGCTTGTGACGTTTACAAAAATTAGACATGGGCTTAATATTAACCAATCAATTATGTATATATGGAATTTTACTAGATTTTCGAGACATATATATAGATTTAAAAGTAAGTTTTTGCTATTCTTTAAGCATTTCTGTAACTGGATAGACAAATGTCAAATTTCCATTAAGATTTTTCTGGTTTTTATTAGGTTAGTTACCACTGTTCTAAAACAAAACTGTACTTTGTCATGCGCGAACACTTTCTTCATAAATCTCATCGCACCTCACCTCATCCGGCAATATAATTGCGCTTCTATGAACGCTGTAAACAACACATTTTAGTTGTATCATACATATATAGGTAAATGATTATGATACTAAAGGAGGATGATAATGAGTTTGAAAATTTCGCGTAGTGTTAGAATAGTATTGCAATACATCTGTATTAGTTATCGTATTATACACAAACATGAACGCATACACACATAAATATACAGACATAAATATATTCATATATATATATAAACACGCACAGAGCAGTTAACAATTCAGTTGTGTGATAAACAAAAGGCTACAGACACTAGACGTGAGGCATGTTAACAAACATATACAAGTGCAGATACAGTCATACATAGTCATACACACATATATATATATATATGCATGTGTAGAAATAGTGTGCAGATAGCAGCTAAGCAATCAGTGAATGTGATTCAGAAAAAGTTTATATCTGTTGTTCGTTTCATTCTTTCGTTGAACGTCGTTTGAGTAAAATGTAAACGCGCTTCTTCCTAAATTATGTACGAGTGGCTTGATGAGACGATAGATAAAAAACAACACACAATTGCTATTTCTTCTTTTTTTTTTTTCCTTGGCCTTTCTCTTGGTTTTCAGACGCAGTGACCAGTGTTTAAAAAAAATAATAAATAAATAAATAAAAACTGAAAACCTATTGGCTGCGGAAAAAGGAAAAGAAGCAAAATAGAAAACTTTATCACGTATTTTCAAAGAAATTCATTTGTTCACATATAATTTTTCTTAAGTCTCGGTTGTGTATTTGTTGTATGTGTTGTTTTGTTGTGTGTATTCAGCGCGCGTACTCCAGTTTATATAATTATTGTGCGTATATGTGTGTAGTTATGTATCCGTGCTTTCGCAATTGTATGTGTATGTAATATAAATAATTTTTGAATAAAAAATCGATAAAGGACTATTTGAGAAGAACATTTAAACACGCACAGCCAACAACGGCATAAGATACATATATACATATATAAAATTTGTGTATGTATACGTGTGAAAATTTACTCAGATGTATACACACAACGCAGTGGACTTGTAACGGACAACGGCCTCATGCTTGGCACTAGTTTGTATTTAACATTCAGTGAGTTTGGTTGCTAGATACGCGAGCGTCTTGTCTGTATTCCATCACTACGCCACCAAATTGCTATCTTAAATTCTGCCAAATATTAAAAAGCAATCAGAGAGAGAAAGAGAGAGAGAGAGAGGAGTGTTTATGCAAAGAATGGTTGAGCATCATCATGCAATGCTTAATGATATATTCAAAGTTCGTTAAGCCAGAAAGCAAACAAATTGTGTAATTTTTACATTCGAAAATTAAAAATACATATTTTTCAAATGGAAAGAGGCATCTTGTGGTAAATATTCCGTGAAAGAAAACAAAAAAAGGAAAAAGAAAAAAAACGAGAAAATTGGATAAAGAAGCAGAAGCAGAAGCAGAAAAAGAGAAAATTTAGAACGAGTTGTGCAAACTTATAGTATAACTTGTTTGTGCGCGTGTGTGTGACGCAGTAAAAATATTAAAAAAAAAAATTTTCCCTAGTTTTTTATTTTTTTTTTATTTTTTATTTTTGTTTTAAAGAAGAAAAAAGTCGTCTACTGTGGTAGTTTTACCAAAGAATCAATATAGAAGTAGAAAACCTCCCCTCTATAAAAAATCCGGGGCTTGGTACTTAGTTAGCGTACCGCTACTATCGACATGTCTTTGCAAACGAAACGCCAACACTGTTATTTATGCGATTTGCCGCGTATGCCATGGGCCATGATCAACGATTTTTCAGAGGCGGTGTGCCGGGGTTGTGTAAATTATGAAGGAGCAGATCGTATAGAGCTTGTGTTGGATGCAGCCCGCCAAATGAAACGATTGCATCAGGCTGCTAAGCGTAGCCATGAAAATGGCGAAGTTTCACAGCAAAGTGGCAGTCAACCGCAACCACAAAGTCAGCACCGGAGTGCCGGTCCTATTGGTGTGGGTGTGGCGGGTCAACAACAGCATCATCACACTTATCCAACACAGAGGATCGGACCGCCGCAGACTAGCCTAATGGATTTCCCAGTGAAAATGGAAGCCCACGATGCCAGTGTACGCCCGGTGCGTATTTCACACATGGCTCCGCATCATATGTCTATGTCCAATAGAGCTGTGGCTGCGGCAGCTGCCGCCGGCTCTAGCGTTAGTCCCGCACAAGTCGGTGGTCCGGTACCACCGACTTTATCAGTAAATTTGAAGCGTCCACCTTCCGAGGAGGACGATCACGGTCATACAGATGGTAGCGGACCTTCTGGCATTAAACGTTCTGCAATCGATGATCCTACACAACGACCACCACTTACACGAGGCGAATCTCTACCGGCAGCTGTCTCCTTTGTTTCGGAGCGTTCCTCGGGCTTGCGGGACAAACATCAACCAGTAAGAGCACCATCATTTGATGCCTCAACTTTTAAACCTGCTGGTAAGTATTCTGGCAATTAATAGCCTATAAATGTAGCTCTTCTCTCTATTAATACGCACTCTGTGGTCGCCTTCATTGTAATTGTTATTGTTGTTGTTATGAATGTTGGTAGTGCTAGTCCCCATTATGCGAAAGACGTAAGATTCTGGCACACATGCATAGGCCAACTTGCAATGCTTAATGGATAACAATTTAACTTATTTAAAGACTTGCAATGCCCAATTATACCATAATATAGTACGCAGCTATATATTTTGTTATCTTCTTAGGAAATCATTCTCTAGTTAAAGAAATTAAAGTATAATAATACTATTTACTTATCGCGAGCAAAGGCAAAGGCAAAAGTCAATGAAATCTTAATGAAATTACTGAAAAACCAAAAACAAAACCAGCACAGACAGACAATTTGTTCAAAATGCATTATAATTAATTGTGTTCATTAAACTACTGCATGTTTATAAATGTAACGTGCAAAGCAATGTGATTTCCAAATATGTTTTTTCTTGTCATTATTGTATAATATCAAATAGAGCCGAGTAGTGAAAATAATGTTATATACTGGCAAGTGTGAATTGAATGAATAAAATGAGACATATGGGATTTGCCCGTCTGAAGCTCAATATTTTTTAAATTATCTGATATTTACATATACATATATATGCATACACACATTGTTATCGGTGTTGCTCACATTGCCTTTATATGGATGCACATATTAACCCTAGGCCATGCTTTTAAAATCGTAAAGTAGCAGCACCACTGGCAACTAAAAAAAATTGTCATGCGCAGTTTGCTGTATTTTAAAGAAACAATATTTGCTAACGTGCAAAAATTGTTTAATACCAGCCACTGCTCACTGTTTAACTCGATTGTATATGTAATTTAAACATAGGCAACCCGGCCAAACCAGACCAGATTTCAACTCCACTTTTACCCTAAACGAGTACGAGTTGGAAGTCAAGTTTTATTTTACTATAATACGAGTAGTTTTTTTTTTTTTTTGCAAAATATGTGTACATCGTCATCAAACCTGTTTCTTTCTCTCTGGTCTTGTTCTTTTTCCTCTTTATTTAGACTCTTCCTCTCATATATGGTGAGCATGTATGCATAAGTAATGTGTTTGAATACACATTTATATAATATTATATATTTTGTTCTTATTGTAATAGTATATGCATACGATTGTCATACTTCTATAGTATAGATACAAGTTTACAGATTTCTTAATAGATTCAATCTCTCGCTCGCTCGTCTCGTTCAATAATGGTTCGTTAGATACGCTACGTAATGCTACTGTAAAGTTTTCATGTTTGTGTGCGAGAATACTATTTTGTTTAAACATGTGAAAAAGAGGAGTTCTGTTTAAAATCAAATGACACGTAATCGTTTATATTTTATATTTTGTACATATATATACAATAAATTTAAACGGTCGGCAAAAACGGAGAAATGCTTATGAAAAAGAATTTATTTTCAAGAAGAAGTACATCCGGCAGTGTTTTCGCCCGTTGTTGTTGACTTCAGAGATATAATTTAATTTAGTTTAGTTTCGTATGGTCAAAGCATTTCCTTCTGCAGCAACTCCTATTATTTAGAAAAAAAAAACCAAAAAGGCGATTATGGGGAAACATAAAAAAAAATTGAACTACTATGTGCTTAGCGGTGCTAGATTTTTAATTATGAATCTAAATACTTGAAAAATTTTGCTCCAATCTGTACATTTCTTACATTTGTCTACGCCGTTGCGCTGGAAATTTCGGTTTAACTAAAACTTTCCCTACAATCCATTCTATTTTCACTCTAAAGAAACACTGTGCAACATGCCGTACTTTAATTGCACAGCAAATCTGCAGATTCTGTTCCTATGCTTAGCATATTCAGCAACATGCGCGAGCATATTTCTTCTTGTTATTATTCTGTACGCATATATTTTAAGTATCTTGTTTTGTTCATATGGAGATGTGTGTGAATGTGAGTAACGTTATATACAGTTCTTAAGAATTTAGCACATAAACAATAAAAATTATAAAAGAATTTGCGCGTGTAACTTTTAGTTACATTATGCATGCAGCACACAAAGATAAATGCTTATGCGCATGTATGTGTAAATATATTAATGCTTATGAATACTTTCAACTCCAACGAAGGAACGATTTTAGAGAGGGTAGTATGAAAAAAAAATGTTATCGTTACAAGAGTGTTTTTGAAAAGACAACATATGTACAGCCAGACGACCTAACATCGCAGACTTGAGGACACATCTGCAATGTATTTGCAAGTGAGCGGTTTTTCTTCTCTACATTTGTATATAACTTTTTTTCATTTTATTTGTCGAGAGAAGCGATATAGATGGCAAAGGTTGTTAGATAAAGAAGGAGTAAAAGATATGGAAAGAGTCTATACTTTAGCGTGCAACCATGCCCGAAAAGGGAAGAACAAAACGTAGAAAAATTGCAATCGACATTTGTGCTTTTTTTTTTTTTTTTCTAAATCCACGTATAACCAGTCCCTTTATGTGGTATATTCTGAGAAATTATTTTTGGTTTGCAACCACATATAAAGCAAGTAAACGTAAGTATATGCAGATGTTGTGCGCAGAAGTTTTATGTATAATATCGAAAAACAGCAATGAAATTATTCCAAACGTTTTCATCTTTTTCACTTATTTCTTTTTATTTATTTTCCACTCCGTACATGTATACAATACTAATATTAATGGGCCTAACTACATATATAAAAATCTAGTCCTTTTCTACATTGTCTCACAGGTTCGTCTTAAATCGTATATATTCATAGCGTGTACAAAAAGCAAGCACGTGAGGTTGCACAAATTATTACGATATATGTAAACGTTAATATATGTGTATAAAATACACCCTACACACGTACACAAAAACAAACACACACATACATACATGCATATTTGTTTAACAAAAACCAGTTTTTCTTGACTTTGTATGCGCCATTCGTAGGTTCTTTTGTTGCTGACACCAAAAACCAGTTTATGGGAGTTATGTTCATAATAAAGTTGCTTGACTTGGTCTCTGTCTGGTGCATAATTAACCAACAACCAAAAACATTAAACCAGTTCTTATAGTATGTTGTGTTTAGTTTGCTAGTTGGAATCATTATTATTATTATTATTATTATTACTATTTGTTAGAATAATGCAAGTTTAAGTCTTGTGAATACATTCCTACAAAACTTTGCCAAAGCGGGTTACGCACATCAAAACTCATTAGATGCAAAAATACGCTAAAAGAAAAATAAGATATTTAGATTGCCTAAGTCCGTTCCCCTTCTATATATTACAGTTTAGCCAGTTAATATCTGTAAAATTAAACAAACGGAAAAAAAAAGACTATACCCGACCTGTCGACACACTTTCTTTAAAATGTATGGTAAAATCATCGACCTTTGGATAGCCCAGATGACAGCGGTTGGTAGAAACAAGCAGACAGGCACACAATTATTTCAAATTCTATTGGATAATAACTTGTATAAGGCATATATGGTTTTTTGGTGTTTAAGGGAGCAATTAATTATGGGTAATGGTTGCTATAATCGATGAGAGCGTAAACATTGGTTTGTCGACGCTAGCAGTGAGTGTCAATTCTCTTGGTTATCTCAGGTGAGGTTCCAAAGTCAATTTTTTAGATATTCCGGTTATAAAATGTGTGGCTATGATCCAGTAAGAAACCTAAAATGGTTAAAAATAGTGAGTACTGTTTGAATGTCGGGGTACATATAATTCTCTCTCAACAATACACTCATTTACGCTTATCAATGCCATGCTGCACGATTTCAAAACTAAATACAGCAGTGCTTACTGTTCCACTGTCGTTGCTTATCTTATCACGGGAATATAGCAAATGAAACAAATTGATAACCGTTATCGTGTTATATATGTAATTTTTTTTTGTCTGCTAAACAGTTGATAAGATAATGATTAATTCAAGTTTTTTCTGAATTCCCTGCTTGCTCGTACATACTAGACTCTATCACTTCGATTTTGAATGTTTGCAAGACTCATCATATGAATTGGTTGGTGGCTTCTTAAACTATAATAAATTCTTATGGGTCAATATGGTAGTGTCCGCTTATCATATATAACGTCAGCAGAAATTGCAAAGAAAGATTGGAATATGATTTTTGTTTGGCAGATGGCAGATTTTTGATCAAAATGAACAGATTTATTAAAATATTTCGAAGTAAAATAATTTTGATCGGCCAATTCGACATGCATATATATATATATATATATATATATATATTCGTATATTCGTTTATTACGATTTGTATCTATTGAATTCTGATATAAGGTTATCTATAAGCTTTCGCTTTAAGGCGCAAATAGCTTTCTGTTTATTCTTTTTGCTCCCGTCTCTAATAGTTCCTTTATCTGTAGATATTAAATGTTTTTTTTCTTTTTAAATTACTTATATTTGCTTTGTTTGTACTGCAAAAACCTTAATGTGTAAGCTTGAAAATAAATTAACCGAAAGAGCAGAGATTTTTGAAACATATGTACATTATGCTTAAGTTTTGTGGGATGTAAATAAAAAGTCCACCCCAATGTGGTTGTACCGTTTTCAATAACAATAAATGCGCTCAACGTGTCCTAAAAAAGGGTCTAAGTCAATTTATATTTGGACGCACTGCTCTTCCATTGTTCCCCCACTGTTTTCAATCGCAATTCCTCAAATATATATCATCCTATAGCATGGAATAAACTGTATTTTACCATTATAGATTCTATGACCTGGTAACGTTTCTTACATATATATATATCTTTATTTAAAATTTGTAATCTGGTAATACTTTTTTTCTTTGAATTTGCTTTTATACCTTTCAAAAATAAAACGAATAGAAAAACCACACTGTAGACAACTTAACCAAAAACCTAACTATAAAATGTTGACTAAACTAATTAATTAAACTGAATAAATTCGGAGTTTTTTTTTTTTTTTTTACTAAAAATAAATAGTTTCTTAAGACGGAACGCCCATGTTTCTTATTTAATCAAGCGATAACATTTGAGGTCAGTTTAAGAAATAATACACAGTGGCCAACAGTAGTTAAAAACTAAAACAAGTTTTTATTAAAAAAAAAAAAAAAAAAAAAAAAAAAAAAATTATTAACCTTAAATGCAAAAGAATATTCGCGGCAACAAATTTTAAAGTAAATGTTATTTTTTATATTTTGCACGATTTTAGATTTTTGCCAAATATCATAAGAAAAAAATTTAAATCTAATAGTAACGCTAAGCACGTTGCTTCAAAGTCTCCATTTACTATCATTTCGTGAATCTAACGAACGTGTCCAATTCAGAGGCTATGCGCACCTCATAAAACACACTTGTAACATACGCGTTTGTGGTTACTTAGCTAAGCCGGGAGGAGGGAGGGCAGTGCGCATTAGCGTACAACAATTGTATACTCATTTTATGTGTCTCATTTATTAATGTATAGGTTCAAATATAAAACGATTTTTCAAAACGCTATGCACGTGAAACTCATCGTAGAAGGCGCCAAAGGAATAATTAATTGTATGAAAGACTTACATCCATTTTCAACTTCTTCAAAGTTTTTGGTGCAATAATTTTCTCTTTGAGGACGATAGGTGTGAGATTGGTCCATTCTCGGAGACTAAAATAATATACATATGTAAAGCAGAAAGCAGTTTTCGATCTCACTTTCTTTAGAGTGAATGCTAAAGCTATAGTTAGTGTATTACCAACAATGTGTGCGATTGGTTTAACTGAGATTTTCTTTACAAATATTTTTCAGTTCTTAATATTTGCTGGACATGTATCCAATTACTTTTAATAATACAAGGTAACCCTTAGGATTTTTAACAGCGCCTCCTATACCAAACTCAAGTTGTGATTTCATCGAGAAACGACAGACTTATTTAAATGCAATTGTTGCAAATGGAATGAGAAAAAAATAAGAAATAAATAATTACGCCCACATCTAACAATTTTCGATCTCATATTCCACTTGTCACTTACTAAAATATTAACTTGAATGAGTGGAATAGAATAAGAAGAAAGAATTGAGATTTATTCTACCATTGATTTATTGACAAATTATTTAAGTATTTTATGCTAAAATTTAGATATATATATATATATATAGAGATACGCCTTTTTTTTTTTTGTTTTACTCTTTCAAATTCAGAAACCAAGAACTTATAAATATCAATTTGAGTATGTCAGCTGTTATTTTGTTCTTTTTACCATGTTGATATATAATAATTTTGCACTCTTCTTTCCTCACAACATTGGCAAAATATTTTTTTTTTTTATATTTTCCTTTTACCATATTCGTATAAATTTGAATAATGCAAGTTTTTCATTGTCCAGCAGACCAGCAAAAATTAGTATTGTTGTTCGAATCAAAACAAAAATCCATTCAAACATCTATTTAAATTTAAGACAACATTACATTTAAGACGGCATTACCGTTGCCTGTATTTACACGCACATAAATATGCATACAAATGTTAAAATAGAAAAATTCTCATGCTAACCGCATATATGTGTACGTATATAGTTTCGCTAATTAATTAAAATGATGTATGTAGTACTCAGGCAAGCTCCGATTTACATTCTATATATTCATTTCTGTGTATACATACGAAAAAGGGCTCACTTCGAATCGTCGCGACCTACGTAAGATTCATAAGATGCTTGGCTACGTATTTGTATATGTGACTACGCGTATCTATAAACTAACACAAACGTACCATGGTGTATGTATATATCATATATGCATGCAACTGCATTGTGAGTATACATACAAGTTTTGTTTTTATAAGTCAAGGCGCGCATATACATAAACATGTGGCTCTAATTATGACTGGGCGTGAGAGTATACATTAGTAATGAGCAACATGTACACGGCCAAACTTGTTTGTGGCTGTAATTGTAGTAAAACATGCACGATTGCATGCCAACTGCGAGCAAATATACACACAAACACACACGCAAGTACACGCTCGCATACACGCATAGAGAAGGAGAAAGACACACACATCTACGTAAATGCACCTTACTGACATGTTTACAACGGTTAACATACCATTGCCGAGCAGCCCGCAATCATGCTAAGCAGTTTGACTGGATCGATGCCAATATGCAAAAATGACGTACACAAAAAATTTGTACATACGGAGATTTATGCATTTATACGTACGATACATATGTATAGAGACAAGTGCTTAGTTGAATGAAAACTTGGTTGGCCCACACTCGCACCTATATTTTCGATATGATGTATTAAAATGGTAATGCACCATGCTATGCTCTTCTCTTCTTTTTTTTTTTTTTTGTTAACACTGCGAGTGCATGCGAATTGTTATCGTGATATCTTCTGTTGAGGGAGACAGCAAACGAGATAGAAACCGCAAATGTGGAGAGCTTAAAACAAATAACTGTGAACATACACAAGCACGTACACATACACATATAGATAGCATTTACAAACGCCATCTTTCTTGGCCTCTAAAGTAGTAGCCTCGCGTAGCTTCTCTTTGTCTTGTTTCTCTTTTTATATCAACAAACTTGGCTGAAGTAAAAAACCATCTGGCTTTTTTTTCTCTCAATTTTTTTTTTCTTATTTCATTTTTAGCAGCAACCAGTCATTTTTATTTGCACTCGTTTAACCGGTTGTTTAATACACAATACGATTGATCTGTCGATGTGCGAACGCGACGAGCAGATGTTGTGGTTAAATATTTTTTTTCCCTTATGTATGAGTGGCTGCTCTGACGTTGTTTATATTTCTCGTATATCTCGTTACACTCGTACGCGTAAAAGTAAATTTTTGGCGTTGTGTTACTACATTGTTGCGTTATCGTTTAACAATACGAAATAAGAATAGAAAATAAAACAAGAAGGCCAAACAACAGAGGGACGTATAATAAACAAATGTACGCAATAAAAAACAAAACAATAGTAACAATAATGCTAATAATTACGCTTCATTAGTAGAGTCAGTTAAATATAAAACAACATAACATGTAGAATTTAAAAAATATACACGTAAAGTTCATGTTGTCCATGCTTTGCCGCTTTTGTGCAAATGTTCCAAAGGAGGCATTGTTTCTAACTATATTGCTAAACATGATTTTATCGAATAATTGAAAAATAAGAATTCGGGAGCAAAGCAGGAATCGCAACAACAAATATGCAATATACGGGGGAGATGTTATCGAAACATGCTTCGTATACATTTTAATAAGGTGATGTAATTTTCCAATATATTCCGTTATTGTATTAATTTTACGGATGCGACACAAAACCGTATAAACAACTAACCCTTATCATATAAGCAAATTATTGCCGCGTCTGTTTAAATGCTTTTTGAGTAATTATTTGTACATAGGAGTTTGTGTTTACATATTTTTGATTTTAAACCGTTTCTTTAAACTTACTTCAGCTTAATCGAAAATGCAAAGGTGTACAGTACGTACTTGGTGGGTGAAAAATGTAAGGAGCTACCTTCTACAGCAAAACAAGTGAACTAAGTTTGATGAGACCGTGCAAGCTGGACAATTGCAATACTGGTGCACAATAAATACATATACCTATATAAGACCCTCTGCTGCGGTTAAGCTAATTACACAATTTGATATCAATTTTAGGATTTTATTGCTCAAAAGGAGGATACGCAAGCTCATCCTTTCTCCAAATTCTCATGTGTAGTCGGGTAGATAAGGATCGCGACTACCAACTTTACGTTCGCGAGTTCAAGTCTCAATGTGGTAGAGTTTTTTTTTGGTCGCAGCTATAGCGAGAGGTCAGGCATAACACTTACTCATTAGTCACACACCTCACTAGGATGTGGCCGTCTTTCTCTATCTTCACTGCTTTCTTTCGGGCACCTTATTACACGAACATCCCGAGAATGATATATACATATATATACATGTATATAAATACACACATATCTATATATATATATATTTCGTAGATCATGTAATGTTAAGCTCTCGGAAAGTCAATTATCTTCAGAAAGAGTGTCATGAACCGTCTTAAAAATTACAAAAATGCATTTTTCTTTCTACGCTATAGGATTTAATGGACTCATTTAACTACAGTCAGTACACGTCCAGGTTATTAAATATAGCTTACCGTCCGCGGATTCTCCGTGTTCATGCAAACTTGAGAGTCGCGCTTCTTATACATCGGGCTATGCAGTAGCCTTAAAACCGAAAATATTGACCCATTTCTTTTAGCAATGTCTCGTGACGTGATGCATAAAACAATCAAAAACCAATTGTAACGAGAAGTTTTGAACGAGATTCGACCGACATCATTGGTGGCAATGAAATTTGAATAGCCTATTTTCGAAAAAGATTCAAACTACTCGATCTCTGACTCAGAGCACTCCGTTTTACTTTAAAACAACCAAACTATATCACTTTCGTATTGTACACCACCAAATGTTTGCCAGTGGGACACCTCCACAAATATATTCACATACAGCAGGTGAAAGGTAAAAAGATGTCGTCTAGAAGGTATACACCATGCAATATTTACTTCAATTTCAAAGACTAATTTACTATTTTTCTAAGAACATATTCAAAGAGAATTTTCCCTATCAAAAATTGAACCAACTGCCAAAAATGGTTTTGATATTTTAGTAATAGGGCCTCGACTGTTGACGACTCGATCTAAACTCATAAAACGCATTCTTAATTTGTTTTCACTTACGCGTCCCGGGTTAAGAACAAAATATTTTTTACATTCATTCAGTCACATGAGGAATTTGACTGAACGTTTCGTGAGCGTAACTGAGACGTCCGGCGCATGTACAATTTTCAAGTTATTAGTCATATTATTAATCATTCAATCAAGATTCAATCTATTCTGATATTGCTTTTTACTCAGATCGTGTGCATTTTTTAATAACCCTCCATTCCCAATCGCGGTAGAAATGTATACACCAAATTTTAAAATCTAATCTATCTCGAAAAAGACAAGGCATAGAGAAAGATCACCTTTCACGTTCTTTTTATATAAATAAAAATCATCAGCAATTTTTAAGGCATTACATAATTCACAAGCGCTTTTCTTAAGCTCGAAACTTTAAATGAATCAAATTGTCAGGCTTGGCGTTCCACGTCATGCGTTGATTACCTTTTCAAATTAAAGGAGATTTCATCGAATCCCTTTGCTTTCGAGTTTCGAAAAGAGTTTACTTAGATGTCGTCAATTAAATAAAATAACGTTACAAATAAATTTTGTCGCATTTCCTCGATACCAGCAGCATAGCACAATCGCTGCATAATCGTCAGATAATTTCATATGATTATCTGTTATGTTATTACGCTAACATTGTATAAGCGAGAAGCAAAGCCATATACATGTATATATATGTATATGTGTATGTATGTATGTATGTATAGATATGTGCGTGTGTGTATTAAGTATTTTCATTCATTCTTTTCTTCTCACCATTCACTGCTGTACACATTTGGCATTTGTTGTTGTTGTTTTGTGTGTTTTCGAAATTGTAAATTTCTTCAAGAAATATGGAAACTGGCATATTATTGTGCCTTATATATATATATGTGTGTACGTATATATATGTATATGCTTATGCTGCATATATGTATATATATGTATGTGTGCAGGTTTAATTTTTTTTTTTTTTTTCATAAAATTTGTTTTTATTATTTTCCGGCTGCCATTCGACGGCGACGGAAAGGAGAGCAAGAAAAAAAAAGAAAAACTGAAACTGAAAAAACTTGTGTTCTGGTGTTACTTTGTAGTATTCCCAACAATACCAATTCCGGCCATTGCGTTAGGCAATTCAACGCCTCCAATCCACCACCACCACCACAACAACAACAACAACAACAACCACCACCAACATCAAAACCATCATCATCACCACCACCACCACCAACAACAACAACAACTACCACAACCACAACAGCTACCCCAACAGTCTATAACAGTACAACCTCAATTAAATCTGTCACAATTATCAACAACAACAACAACGACAACAGCAACAGTAGCGACCCAGAATAGCCACAATAACAACAACAATTGTTCAATAACACAATTATCACAAAGTCCGATGGCTAATCTAATGTCCATTACAGAGACACTGCCACCGGGCAGTCCACGTAACGGCCCAAGTCCACCGGGACCACCACCTCCCCGTACCGCATCAAGAGGCAGTCAACATTCGCCTAATAGTTCGGGTAAGTTAAGCGTCAGAGAGATAGAGCCTATAAATAAAAATATATGTATAAAAAAGAAGATCAGTGCGCAATTAAACAAAATTAAATTCGGCTTCTACTTTCAGCTGGCTCTTCTTCAGGCCGTCGATCGTCAGGGTCGCGTCATGTTTCGAGTACTACCGTAACCAGCTCAGAGGTTCAAGTAAACCAGCCACTAAATGTGGGACAGGTGACAGCTGGTGGATCAGTAAATGCTACCGGTATTAGTAGTAATGCGGCAGCTTCAGCCGGTGGTCCTTTAACCGTTAATGCCGACAACGTTAGCAATCCTGCAGCGAACAGTACGCCTGGTCAACCAACGCCAGGCCTTAGCAGTTCAGCCAGTGTTCCTCCCGGATCAACAGCCGCTGCACCCAATTCCGGACAGAATACCACCCTAAAATGTACACTCTGCCAAGAACGTTTAGAGGACACGCACTTTGTACAGTGCCCTTCCGTTAATCATCATAAATTTTGTTTTCCCTGCAGTCGAGAGAGTATCAAACGACAAAATGTAAGTTATGACAATGTGTCCTACATTAAATAATGTAATTAATTTTTGCTACAATTTCTAGGGTCTTGGAAATGAGGTCTATTGTCCAAGTGGCGATCGTTGTCCATTGGCCAACAGCACTATACCATGGGCATTTATGCAGGGCGAAATTAGCACCATTTTGGGTGAAGAAGTAAAGGTGAAGAAAGAGCGCGAATCTTAATGATCATATTATTGCAAAAAGCTTAGACGAGCTTTGGGCAATTTTGAAAACAATTAAAAAAAAAAAAAAAAAAAAAAAAAAAAAAAACACTAATCTCTCCACAATCACCCCCTTAAAGAAGACACAAATTTGTTTCCTGATTTCGCTGCTGGCATACAGAAAACAGGATAAGAACACACACTTTTTGGTAGCTGAATATAAAGAAAAAGAGAATTCAGCTTAAGTAACAAAAATACAAATTTTATAGATATTAGGATTAACCGCCAGAATTACTATCTGTGGGTGAGGTTCGGTTCATACGAAACAGCCGATTGCATAAATCCTCACTATTTTTTTCTTTGTATATATTTTACGTATAACAAAATTTTAGAAATGAAATAATGAAAAAAATAATAATAAGAAGAAGAATACTTAACTTTACTTAAGATATATTATAATAATATTGATAAATTAACTCTATACACATGCATAAAATAAATTATAATTAAAAATTTATTTATGTACATACGTACATATATGCGTGTACATATATATATATATATATGTACGTATATATATAAATAATTAAATTAAAAAAGCTACTTTCAATACATCCATCATCTACTATTGTCATACGGCACGGTAAGGTAAGCGCCAAGCAACGCTGAGAAAATAATTAAACATTTAAAATTAGCAAACATATAATATCAACAAAAAAAATTAATAAATAAATAAAATAACGTAACACAAAGGTATAAACAAGCGGTGGCATTTTGTTAACTATTTTAGCGGGTAGAGCAAAAGTATGCATTTGACGGAAATCGAATGTGGTACTTAACGACGAAAATTGACGTAACATAAAGATGATGTGTCGATCAATTGATGCTTGATACAATATTTATCGCAATTCATTCACGAATGCTTACTACGTTTCGCCCAGAAATTCACATGAATACACATACATAGAGAGACGTTCACGTACACTAATATATTCAAAAAATTAAATATTTTATTAATTAAGTAAATATGTAATTTGTTTGTATCTAAAAACGTATGCCAGTGAAGTTGCACATAATCTGTATGTATGTATGTATTGTATTTAATCTCCATGTAAGCACAGTAAGAGAGAGGGAGAGAGAGAGAGAAAGTGAGACCGGGAGAGAGAAGAGAAGAGATATCGAGGACGAATGATAATAATACACAAAAATGTCAAAAAAAAAACCAAAAAAAGTTTCTCTTCTTTTATTTCAAGACACAATTAATCGTTGCTTCTATTATAAATGTTTACCAGGATGGTCGAATCAATCACTAAAGACTATCTTCATAAGCTGCGATTAAACGCTAAATTTCTAATCAAAACATTTTACGAACACTTATGTTCATAAGATCGGCTTTCTGGAATGGCCATGGAATCGCAATATTTAGTGAAAGTGTTAATAAAACTCAACCCATTTGATGGTTAATTTAAAATGAATAATTCAATTCTATTAAAAGTGTGAGAAATTCGAAATTTCCTTTAAAAGAAAAAAAGAACAAAACAAAAGTGTTTTCTGCCGCGTCGCTTTTTTCTTAATTACGAATTGCACAAAGCACATAAACCGAATGGATGAATGGAGTGGAAAATTTGAAAGAAAAACTAACAAAAATTTACCTAAAATATATTTTCATTTTTTGCAGAAATTTATCACTCATAAATATTGAAATTTTTAAAGACATTTTCGAAAACAATTGATGCGCTCTCGAACGCGCACACGCATTTTTTTTTCGACTAATGTATACCTAAGAAATTCAAAGCCAAAGACATTTTCAAAAGTGCATATAGTTTTAATATTTTTTCCAATTTTCTATTGGGGAAGTTAATAGAAATATTTGGAACATATATAAAAATATATATAAAAAAAAAAGAAAACATTAAAAGCCTTAAGAACGTTGAATAAATTTTTATATATAACTCGATTCTCTTTTATACGAAAAGTATTCCACTATACCACTATACATCCAAATAATTAAGAAGAGACTTTAAGAAAATATTTCTGAATTTCCCGTAGAAAACTTTCTATAAAACAAAAAAAAAAACAAAGTATTGAAATGCTCTCTTATAAATACAAACAGGCGCAAAAAAAAACAAAACAAATAAAAATATTTATTAAGCAATTTTCGTGCAAATTATTGTACAACTTTGTATACTATTTGCTACTAACCGATCGTCGATTAGAAGGAATCGAATTCCTGAATCAGATTGAACATTTGGCAAATCCATAAGAAAACAAGGTATTGAAAATTTTAAAATTAACACGAATTAGGGAGATCTATTAAAATTATGGGGTGCAGTTTTTGTCGCGAAAACCGGAAATCCTTAGAAAAAAGTATTTGGGGAAAACGTATATACTTTAGAAACGTTGAGAGTTACGTTTCAAGAAATTACGTATATATACATCCTGCTCTCCCTCTCTTTCTCTTTTCTCTCTCTCTCTCTCTCTCTCTCTCTCTCTCTCTCTTTTACATATCTGCTATCTCTCTCTCTCTCCTTTTATGTATGTCTTTCCTAAATGAATGCTGCAGAACTAACTGATGGTATTTATAATTTGTTTAATAAAATAGCGTACCATGATAACAAACGATAAATTTTTTTTTATAATAAATATTTATTATAAGAAATGCTTGTAGTTTTTAATGGCAAATTATTGGTTAAAAACACATATGATTTTTTTAACCAAATATAAACATCTTTTTGTAAATGTATTTAGTATCGAGTAAATAATTGAATTAAAATTAAATACTGAAACCTAACACCAGCGACAATTTATTAGAAAAAAAAACAAACAAAAATAAAAGAAGAAAGATAAACCTTAATGAAAACCAAGAGATTTGAAATAAATAACAAAAATGTGTGTTTTAAAATAAAAAATAAACGAAAAAAAGAAAATGTGAAAAATCCACAGTAAAAAAATGGAAGGAGCTAAATTTCTAAAGAGTAAATGGAATAAAGATTCAAAAAGATAATTGCCAAACAAGAAATATTGGTTGACTTTTATTGCAGAGTTCCCGACGCGGATAACACGCACGAAGGCCACTAGAGCAAGCTATGCGAACTAACTCTCGAGCAAGCTTAGGATCGTGCTTTATTTAAAGGCTTAGTTATTTCAGTATATCCTACACTATGGACCGTAGAGGGTAAACGACTCGCGCGACAAGAATGATTATGTATATTTTATATCTGTTAGTGTAATACATAAAAACGATAAAGTAACCCTATAGAAATCATCCACGAATTAAATTCGTTATCAAAAATGTAATCTATGCACATTGCAAAAACGTATCTGGGTTAGTCTTATACCTTTACCGACTAGGCATTAGCTGCAATTATACAACTACGACAAAGTGTGCTTAAATCGTATTGACCGGCTTAGTGATTTGGGGTTATTAAGGAATCCTGCCCTTCTCATTGGCCAATAATCACAGATTTTCTCTTAACAGTCGGCCATCTCTCATTAGCATTTTCCTAGCCATATGTATACATAATTCATAGCAATAGAAAAAGTGCTTTTCCTAAGATCGCATACTTAACAACAACGGTGTGTTTGCAGAAATGAAGTAGTAGTAGAATCATTGTCCAAATTAATTTTTGTGAACTTCTATTTATAGCGATTTCGTTTTTTTTCAGCAGCCTTTTATCACCTTAACGCGCGCTTATATATTCAGAAATGACATCCTTACATTCTTTAGGCGCTTGGAAAAGTTCACTTTTCCGGCTAACCGATGTGGAACATACAGTACTAAATGATTTCCATTGTACACCTTAGATTATCTGGACCGTTTTGTCATACTTACATATATTTTTAAGAAAATACTTGCACCGAGATTTTTTGCATTAGACTTCTTAAGTGATTATTCTGAAAGAGGGTAATAGTCCTCTGACTTTGCTCCTAGAAGAAGGATTAGTTTGTGTTCCTTGATATCGAATTTCGAGAATCAGGTTGATGGTACTCGATACTGTATCATAGCGTCCCCGACATCGAGCGTGAGATGTCGTATATTAGCTCAAAAGCAAAAGAGCGATCGAGCTTTACGTCTGAAGGGGAACAAACATTAGATATCGGTGCACATATTTGATAAAATTAGTGGATATCGGAAAATTACTTAATTTCTGAAATTCCTAAATTTTGACAAGAATAATAAAATCAAATCGTTAATTTCCGATAGTTTTAGTGGCAATTAATAGAAATAATTTGAAATTTTGAATTTTTTATTATTTATATTGTAGTGAAAACACTCAAATTTAATATTCTTTAAGTCTTTATTACGAATTTGGTTCTGACCATCACTGAGGTATGGTCAGTATCTTATATAACTAATAATTGTAATGCTAACTTAGCATAATAATACAATTAACTAGTTACGACTAAATTAGGCTAACTTAACTAGGTTACGTGTCGCAATTGAAATGAGAATGTAAACTTAGCAATAGTTAATAAAATTGGAACATAGCGATAATTTGTGTAAAGCGGTAGAGAGCGGCAGCCCGATAATGCTACACCTTTCCTCTTGGGAAGAATGATCTTTAGCAATAAATGATCATTCTTGGGTCCATCAATTATCGGTGCTATTGCCTCTACCGTGGTCCTATAATGTACATATATTATAAGTATGTATATATATGAAATTATTATATTATAAAAAATCCTTTTATTTATGTAGGGTTCTTATATGTGCTTATACCTTTAGATATATTTTGTTTGTGTAGGCGCCTTACACTTATATGATTTATGAAGTTTCGTGATATGGTTTTAATCTATTTTTGTGTAATACATGATGTTTATTTTTGTTGTCTTTAATTTTAATGTTATCGTTATTCTTAATTTCTACGACTTTATACGGTCCTAAGTACTTATTCTGTATTTTATGCCCTACTTCATTTCTTACTAATACTAGATTGCCTACTTCTAGTGGAAAATTGTTACTTTTCCTATCGTAATTTATTTTTTGTTTTTCTTTTTTCTTATCTAATAGTAACCTAGCGCGCGCGTATGCTATATCTAATCTATATTTAGTTTCTTTAGCATAGTCGTCTATGTTATAAAGTGGGTCAATGGTTTTGCTGTGATTTG